AATAAGAATAATCATCACTTAAATAATAATAATAATAATAATCAGCACAATAATAATAATAATCATCAACAAAAAAAACATAATAAGAATCAGCGTTATCAGAATAAGAATAATCATCACTTAAATAATAATAATAATAATCAGCACAATAATAATAATCATCAACAAAAAAAACATAATAAGAATCAGCGTTATCAGAAAAAGAATAATCATCGCTTAAATAATAATAATGATCAGCAGCAGCATAATAAGCATCAAAATAAAAAAACAACATGATAATAAGAATCAGCATAATCTGAATAAGAATAATCATCACTTAAATAATAATAATGATCAGCAGCAGCAGCATAATAAGCATCAGAATCAATCATCAGTTTCATATTTTACCCAACAAACTACCAAAAATTGCCCCATTCCAACACCATAAATTTGTATGGACTTGGGAAAATTTTAGTGCCGGCCAATTTAAAAACGGCCGGAATGAGTTTTAAAAAATATACCGCAGAGGACAATCATATAAATGTTAAATTCGACAAACAGCCGAATCAGCTGATTCAGGGCCTAAAATATACATCAGATTTCAGGGGACACAATTTTTAATTCGGTCGATAAAGTTAATAGATTTTCATAGCCAAAAAAAAAAAAAAATCTATGTCAGGACGTAGCTCATTAAACAATAATGTCACTATATAACTTATACATTAATAATATTTATACCTTAATAAGTGTATACTAAAAATTATCGACACAAAAAAAGTAAAAGTTTAAACAATATTACTAAAATAATATAATTTAAAATAAATACCAATGTATCGGATAGAGTGATCTCATTAATTGACCGTTATCATCTTCAAAANGGGGGGCGCACTTGGATTTTCGCGGAACACGCTTCGTGTCGGGGGACACGCTTTTCTAGGTCCAGAGCTGATTGTTATGTCCGTTACGATTGCGAATCACGAATTAAGATCGAATTAGAATACAGAACGGATTATGTTTCATCAACGTTACACCGTCCGTGATTATTGGGCGTCTAGTATATATATATATAAGTATAAGTATAAATATAAGTATAGATAGATATAATATTAGTATAAATTATTACATTTACGTAAAAAATATTGCATTTTGTTGTGACTGAAGTCATTTGAAGATTAAAGGTAATTAGAGTAGACAATTATGTAGATAGAATGAAGTGATAAAAGTTGTATTCAGTTTCAATATTAATTTACCATGTATTTTTTTTTGCAAGCAAAAGATATTTTTTAAACTTTACACACTCCTAAAAACTCCCCAAATGAGGCCAGAAAGATGAAATTTCGTATATGCATGGTGTTCAAATTGTTTTCATTAATTATTGTAAAAAAATATATATTTGAAGTAATAAAGTAATAAAAAAAAAAAAAATTAATATTTCTTTTCCATAACATTAGTTAAATGAAAATAAAATAATTCTTAATCCATGACAAAATCATTAAATGAATACCTTTCTAGACTTTTGAAAAGAACGAGACATATTAGGAGATCAAGTTCTGTAATGTATATTCTAAATTGAGTGGTATGCAAATTAATACGAGTATATAATATTATTATTATATTGTTGATAATTTCCATTTTATAAGAAAACGTAAATTAAAATTTTGATCGAGAGCTATAGTTGTTTCGTAACTTTATCAGTAACTGTGGTGTCAGGTGAGTTTGTTTTCGAAAATTACGAAATTAAGAGAAGTATTCAATGTTGGATTTTTGGACGAAGAGAAAGCTTTCATGAGAAGAAGAAGAGTCGTTCGTATTCAAAATAAGTATTTAAGTACATAATAATATACAGACAATAATTTTAATATTTCCATTTGATTGTTATAATATTATTGTGGAGTTCAATAATATCTATGCAATTATCATTTTTTCTTAATTTACCTTCTTTAAGTCATCGTGATTCAAGTTGGTTTTTATGTGACAGCAAAGAAAGTTTTTATTTTTAGCATTACGTTTTGGATGGACACACAGATATGATGTACGTAATTTAAGTATGACTCAAATTTAAATTTTATGACTTTGTTATAGTACCTAATGTTTAACTAACGTACAACTTAAACGTTTTCTGTCTGTTCTAAAACGAATAATTTATAAGTTGTCTATTGTTTATAGTATCATCCCACGAATTTTATACTTGCATAACTTTGAAATATATAATATATTAATATATTGATTTTGTAATAGAAAATAATGTTATCTATACAATTTCATAATGAAATCGATTATACTTATGGGTATTTTATAGATTTTGAGTTTTAGGTTCTATGTGAATTAAGCGATCTATTGATTTTAAAACGTGTATTTTTTTTTTTTCAAACAACTTGATTGTTTTAGCCACTGTGGCCAAACATGCTAAAGAGGTATTAAACCTGTAAACACACTCACTGCATTATACATTAAATACTTAATCATATTTTATACTTATATAATGATGATGTAACATAAATCTAGATTCTCAGAAAACCCGCGAAAATTCGGATTTCATCAGACGACGAAATCCGAAAAACTTATTATTATATGAATTTTTCAGTATTAAGTTTCTATTTCTATCTTTTAATAAATCTTAAAAATCTATTTTTTTTTTTTAGATATAATATGTATTATGTACAATGATTGTATCTTTTGAATTAATTCCAAAATCACAGTTTCTAAATTCAAAATCCGGATTTACTACAATATAAATTGTTCATATTTCAGTCATTCCGGATTTTTCCCATCACTAACGCTCACACAAACGCACACGACTTCTTTAGCCAACATCTAAAACCGATTATTTCGCAGTACCGACGATGAATCTCGTTGTATTTAATTTATTAAATACGTTTTTTTTTTTTTATAAGGAATGTTTCCGTGTGGTATTTACAGTACATCAACATCATTGTCAACTTTCTTAGATGCCCTCAAGACGTCTTTCAACAACACGTCCATGTCAACCAGATCAATGGGCATGTCCATTGTCCGACGCCGTCATAGCCAGCGCCGTTTGTCAATTTTAAATTTTAAATTTTTCATAAACACCATTAAAAACACAACAAGTTTTAAATAGATACCTAAATGTATAAATTAAAATGTAGGAAAAAATATGTTTGACTGAGCCAGTTATATAGTCATGAAGGGGTTTGGGTATTTTCACCAACTCCTTGCTTTATTTTTTTCAATTTGACTGGAGTGGTAATTTAGAAAGGTTATTTATGATTTTCTCAGGAGTTTTCATAATAAATAGGAAAAACCTGTGAACAACTTAGAAAAAACAGGAAAGATAATCGTAAATATTACGGCCTTTCAATACCTGTATAACCAGACTCAGCTCAGAATTGCTTTTCTTTAGTATTGGTTTATCGTTGCTCATAAGTATAAATTAAATAAATGTATGTAATCTAACTTCCCAACTACCCACCTCAACAGTGGCCACACTCGTCACCAGTATCAGATTTTTTTTAAATATTTGTTATAAAGAACTATTGAAAATAAAGCAGTTTTTGTTACAACTAACAAGTTCAAATGTTTATAATTTATAGACATTATAATATATTATAATGTAATTCTGGTGGAAATAACTCGAGTTTGGACCAGAACAGTTAAACAATTTTTAAACATCGAAATATTACTATTAACCTGCAAGAATATTTTTTTTTTGTTTTACTTATGAAAACAGCATTAAAATATATAACTAATTTGTTATTAGTTACGGTAGGTATTTCAGTTCTATATATTATTATAATAGTTAACGGACTATTGATTCACGGAAGATAAAAAAATAGTATCGATTTAAGTAGGTATATAATTTATGTTTAACGTTATATTTACAACAAAATGACAACCGATAATATAATAACAAACGGATCTCTATAACGTTTTTGGTTAAAACAAATTACAAACAATTATAAAAATGATTGTTGATTGAAAAAAAAAACTGTAACTAAATAATTTTATTCACAGTTATTATAATATGTAAAAGAATATATACACCGATGAAACAGTTTAAATAAATAAATATATTTGGTTTATGTTATAAGGTAGTTACTATACATAATTTACAGTTGGTATCTTTATTTGTATACCTATATACATTTATTAATAGAAAAATATTTTTATACGATTACAAAATATGTAAATTACCTACAGTTCATCAGGTATAGTTTTATATAATATTATTAAAACAAACAACTGTTTATTAACCCGAAGAATGCAGTAGGCAGGAATGTAGATAGATATAAGAAAAAAAATTATAAAGGTTCTTTTCCCTTTTGAATATATTATTCTATTTATAATAGAAAAATTATAAAACGATTTTTAAATATGGAAATGTCTTCAAAAATTCAAGAGGAGGGACAATGTATTATTTATATTGTATTTTTAATAATTTTTAACTTTTTGTTAAACTATTAACATATTATACATAAATAAAAAAAAGCCAGAGGAAGCTCCTCTTATCTCCTTCCAATCAACAACTATGATATTATTGTATTACACTAAGAAAAAAAGTACGTTCTAATAAAATGTATGCTGTTTTCAAATTTTCAGACCATTTTTGTTCTCAGATATTTTACGTTAGAACAAAAGTTGTTTCCGTGAAAATATTTTTTTTTTTATTTATACGATTTGAACTAAACTAAATATTTATTAGCCGATGAATAATCATATCATATCATAATTATCATATTATACATTATCTGAGTTCTAAGTATAATACAACATGTATAAAACTAAAAAAAATTCCACAAATAGTATTAAATTAAAAATATTTATCGTAAAAAAATGCACGATTTTAAATTTTATTGAATAATAAGTGAACTTTCCAGAAATTCGAAAATATCAGTACCGTTGTATTATTTCGTATTATAATCGTTATACGAGATTTGGCTATTAAATAACAAGACTGCGCGCGTAGAGAGCGTCCCAAAAAGGTCAGGGGAAAACCGAATACAGCACTGGTTAGCTGAAAGTGTCTATTATGCCAGTACAAAATTGGGTTTTTGTTGGTGCATTAGTATTTTTTCTGTAGCGTTTAGAAACGAACATGTTTTTTTTCTCTTGCCGAAAACGATGTGTGACGAAAAACATGAGCAACGGATAAACGTAAAATTTTCTCGTTAAACTAAAAAAAAACTCCAATTGAGTGCTATAAGTTGTTAAAAGAGGCCTATAGTGAGGATTTCCTATCTCGGGCACGTGTTTTTGAGTGCCATAAGTTATTTTCTGAAAGTCGAGAGTGCACCGGAATCCAATTCAGTCGTAATCCAAATTCAAAACCATGCTGATCGTTTTCTTCGATATCAACGGCATCGTGATGACTGAATGGGTTCCAGAGGGTCAAACNGATCTTGCACCAGGATAACGCACCTGCCCATAACGCGCTGTCTGTGAAGCGTTATTTGGCCGCTTAAGGTACTCTAGTACTCGAACACGCGTCTTACTCACCCGACTTGACACCCTGCGACTTTTACTTGTTTCCGAAGATAAAGTCTGCCTTAAAAGGAATCCGGTTTGAATCGATGGAAGAGGTGAAATAAAAATCGGCGGAACTCCTGAATGGTCTTACGAAAACAGACTTCCAGCATTGACTCGAACAATGGAAGAAACGAATGAAACGGTGTGTGGCGAGGGGAGGGGAGTATATTGAAGGAGAGCATTTGAATGTAGAATAGCTTTTATAATAAAACACTTTTTCGTAATCAGTCTCGTTATTTAATAGCCACAACTCGTAAACTACAACTGTTATAAAGGCTTTAAATGCTTGAGATAATTTAATGCACCCACAAATGTATAAGGTACTAAAAATACTAGCTATTCTAATATCCACCGCTACTGCTGAACGCAGCTTTTCGACGTTGAGAAGATTCAAAACGTATTTTGAAAATATTTACTCCGTCCTTTTTATTATGAGAAAAATCAAGGAAAACAAACTAATAAATTAATATAACAGTATAATATTCAAACACAGCTTCATTTAAAATCGTTTTCATATTTTAATCTTGTTTAACTATTACTGAATAATGTCAAATATAAACTGCAGAAACAATATATTCTTAGCGAATATTTATACTATTTGTAGCTTTGTTTCTTGTAAATATTTCAATTGCTGCTGGTATAATAAAAAAAAAAGAGTACTTATTATGGATAAGCCATTGTTGTAGGTAGAAAGTTGAGAAGGAATATAATATAAATAATGTAATTGAATTTATTAAATAATTAATCACGTTTTAATAAACTTATGTTGAAAATTGTATTAATTTATAACTATATAAAATAAATTACAATTGTCCTTATTTTTTTCGTCTCAAATTATTGAGCATTTTTCTGGAGTTATTATTTTTAAGGAAACTAAAATCATCTTTTCATTCATAAAGAATAATGGATGTATAGGTATATATATATATATGTATTATAATAATACAATAGATAATTTAAAAAAATAAAAAATGTCAATACATGTAAAACGACCGAGCAGTTATGACAAAAATTTGATGTGTGCGTGTTAAATTAATTATTTTTTTTAAATATAATCAAAATAATGTGTCCGTAGTCGTCGCCATCATCGTCCGTGTGAGAAAAAAAGAAGAAAAAAACCGGTGGTGGTGGTGGTGGTGAAATGTGGGTCACCTGCGAACGCCAGAACAAGTTCAAGGAGGGATTGCCGGAATGAGAACCGGTTGCACTCGATGCAGGGGCCATTTACCTTCCGTCAGTCGCGTCAGTATAACCATTCGAAAAGGAAGTTCACAATAACATACAAAATATTGCATTGCTCTATCTCTATATTGTTCTAGTAACGTACACAGTTATTTAAAAAAAAAAATAACTTGAAACAAAATTTATATCATATTAGAATAGTAGTTACAATAGCAAAATATTATTAAATAGTCCTTGACGACCGAAAGAGGAAGACGCGACAAATTTCTGAAGACTTGAACGAACAGGTATGAACGATAATATTATTAATACTTTTAATTTTTTTAAATTCAATATATCGTTACAATTAATATTTGACTATAGGTGTACAAGATTATAATATGTATCAAAAAATATTAATTTAAATTTACATAAATATGATATATGCTATCGATCCCCAAAAATTTTCATATTTTAAATACCTATAATAACAATATTTTTCTGATTTAATTGTATCAAGTTTTACAACTTATTTTCCTTATTTTCCCCTACCCTCTTGTCCAATTATTTGGTGTTGACTGTTTGCTCTATAAGTATCTATAAGTAACTATCTACCTATAAGTATGCTGGTATTCATTTTTTACAAAAATACGTAATTTATTTTTTCTTTTATTGAGTAGTAAAAAAAAATAAAACACCATTTATCAAGAGTATACTGGCTATACTCGAATAATTGTTATTATAAAATTATTATCACGCGTCGAATAATTTCGATACGTACAACTCTGCTGTGCAGTAGAGTAATAATTACCAAAAATAATTCTTGGCGAGTATTATAATAATATATTAATTTGTAAAGGTATAGTCTTGGTATAGACTCAGGTAACGGTTAAATCGCGGTATTATAATATATATATATAGAGAGAATACACGTTCATACATTATACGATTCATGTGATGGTATATGTTGGTCTCTGAGATGAGGTCGTCGTCGGTGAGATGATTTCACCGCACTTTCTCTCGACAACTATGCGTCATAGGCATAAATATCGGTTCCAATTACAAAGTGAAATTTCTACTAGGTTGGAACATACCGTCTGCTTGTACGCCGCAGTCAAGTTTGAGAGCACATTATTATTAATATCTATTGATGTGATATATACATTATAATTTATAGGTAGGTATATTATAATATTATACTCGATGAATACCACCGGTTGTATACCTATTTTAAATTTAGAGGGGGGGGGGTACAGTGTCATTTTTCTACCAAAGAACTTTTTTTTTATTAGATAGATACTCGTATTTTATTATAATTTAATTCCGTCCTGAAAATGATCCCCGAATTCAATCGCTACCATTCGTATGTTATTTTACAAGTGGCTATGTGAAGGTGTGACTGAGTTCTAATAAGTTAGAATAATAGAATGTGGCATATAGAGGACGAGAATAAAATTCGCGTGTAAGTAAAGGCAACGATTATGACGAATATAAGTTATATTGCAGTATATTTCAGAGGTGTCCTTGAGTGGGCAAAGAGGAAATTTGATTTTTCTCATGTGTCGTATTATATTCCATACTTATAACACTAAATATTTATAATTTTTCAATCCTAATTTATAAAATATTTTAATATATTTTCTATCCTCCAGTGAAATTGATCTGAATGTATTTGACTTAATTTCGGTTCGATCTTAAGTTACACTCGCATATTATTTCAAATTCTGAGTGTATCGACTTATATGCGAATTTTTCATTCGGTCGTTCACTTTATATGGAAAAAATCGTCTAGATCCCAGACAGGTTTTCTGAAGAATTAAAATAATTGGCGACAAATAACGGCTATATCGATTTTATCTTTGTCGATTTCTAAATTAGAAATCGCAATTACAAGTGGAAAAATACAACTTCTGAGCTCCTATCAGAATCGTTTTGTGATTGCGATGATGGTTCACTATCGGTTTCGGCAAATAAACTAAATATTACCATATATTCTATTATGACTGTATAGTGTATAATATAGGTATATCTTCTAAACTTTCAATCTGCAGACAACGACTACGACGGTGGGAAGTATGTCCGGTGTTATCTTTGTTATTGCTGTTGTTATCATTATTTTTTGCTATTACGAATAAGCAAATTGTATTAAGTAGGTATACCAAATTATAATATATTAAATGTCTTATATACACATTGTTTGTATACACGGTTTGAGGAAGTGTACTTGTATAAAGGTCCGTCGCTAGGGTACAAGTAAGTCATGCATTGCTTTAGGGAGGCATACAATTTTAAAGAAATTGAAGCGACAAAATTAAATTAATTATCGTAAAAAAAAAACCAGCAATACAATTTTCGTTTTAGGGCGGAAAATGACTTACGATGGGCCTGCATATGTATTATATTATAGCATACAAAAACAATGACGGTGCACGGACATGAAAAAGTATGTAAATGAAAGTGTATAACTGACCGGATTGTGAAGTGGGTTACTTGGTTACTGTTGCGTATGTGCGTGACACTGTATATAATATTATTATATCGCATGGTAATTGTGGTCAAGGTTAGGCGTGGGCCACTTTTGGACAACGGTTGCCATAGAATCGTCGTCGTCCGGATTCATTCGACACAATTATTTTAACAACGACCACCGTTCTTAATGTGTTTTGTAGGCTAGAAACTATCAGACACTACGTATACGAATGATGCGGCGTGCCGGTATGCATATTAAATATTTCTTCCATATTTCCCACTCCTGTTTTACTTCTTTTACAACAAATATTTACTATCGGCAATAACGAGTATTAAAAAAGTCCTATACGGCAGATAATTGTGCCATTGATTAAGGAGAGAAGTTGGAAAGGAAGGTAAATAGAGTTATTTAATTTATGTTTGTATGCTATGATAAATCATTACAAACAAAAAAACAATCTTGAGGAGAGTATTAATATTAGTACTATTTTTCCTCTAGTTGCTAACGTAACCCGGAAACAACAACAATTATACAAAAAAATGCCAGTTTTTCTCTTTTGTTAAGAAAACAAAAAACAAAATAATAACCTCCCCAATGCACCAATTAGATCAAAATTTATATGAGGAAGCTCCTATACAGTTATTGATTGAAGTAAGATTTCTGGTAGAAATTATTTGCAGACAATAAAAAAAATACACACCATAGTAAACCAATATATTCCTCGTTTTACTCAGAATCTAAAAATCTGAATTTTATATAATACCATATAAATAATACATAATGTACAGTATAATTGATTCTCTGAAAAATATTTATTTTATTTTTAATTTCGAGAGCGACCGTAATGAATCCGTTATATTTAAAAAAACTCGGTCTCTTTCTATAATATTCTCGGTAATTATCGGTGGTTTTACAATTCAAAAATTCCATTTAACTTCAATATTACAAAGCCTGTAGACTTTTTGAGCTTTATAATTTCTATACAGTACCAACATTTGTTTTCGGAATTTAAAACCAATATAATAACATAGATAATATTATTTATTATAGCTCCTTAGAATCTAAAATGTCTGCCATTATTAATGTTAAACGGTTATTTTTTTTAAAACTTTACGTCGATATGGGAACTACGGTAAAACACAGCATTTGACTCTCTTATTAAATATCATTAGTACCTGAACGCATTAATAATTTGACTATCAACTACTATATAATCAATGCTTTAATATTTTTTGTAAAAAGGATCGAAAATGTTCGTTAACAATAGTTTATCGTTGTTTGCAGATATATACATTGCATTTCTCTTCTACTACATTCCTAACTTGTCATCTACAACAGTGGCCCAACCCACGTACGAAGTTGTCTGACTTATAGATTCTGAGTATAGCGAAAAATATATTGGTTTTACTATGATGTTTCTTTTTTTTTTTTCTTTTTTTATACCGTGTACAAAAATTCGACCAAAAATCTTCGTCAGATATTTACGCACGGCAACATTTCTGTGAGGAAACATTATCCAGATGGTACTTTTGGGAAGTAATTTTTTGCGGTTTACTTAATATCTGAGGAAAACCAGGATAAAATGTAAGAAAAACGGGAAATTTATGAAAATAATGTTTTTATTATTTTTCAATTTTGTTTATTAAGAATCAAATTAAATTAATTTGATTATATTATTTTCTAGTGTAATACGTTTACTGTGTCTATCTATTGCTTTATTAATCACAAATTCACAATAACTATGTTTTAAAACAAAAATAATTTGAGAATTATGCGGCCAAATAGAGCGGCGGTAAAATGGGATTAATTTGACGGGGAAGTGGAGCAGCGGCGAAATAAAACGCCGACAAACAGGATACGACCTTATAATGCGAAAATCGCTGTGTTAATTAGAATGGTAGTAATATTATCTTTTGTTTTCGGACTAGTTTTACGGTGGGATCCATTGTTTGAGAGAGAATACGGCCTATTTTTACGGCAAGTAGTTTTTGATATTTATTTAAATTATAACGACCGTGCGTTATACGAAGCATAAGAATAATTCGTATAATATGCGAATATTTTATTATTATAGACAGCTATAAAAAACAATATGTATTTATGTATTTATGAACATAAGAATATATGACACACAGATTATAAATACTTACAATAATTTATTGTAATATAAAATATATACATACATATATATATATATATATTATTTTATCACCATAGTCACATGTACAATCAGATCGTCCATGATTTGAAAAATTATCTGAAAAAAAAGAATTATTATCCGCGTCTATTTTTCATTTTAAAACAATCGATTTGACACGGTTTTACTTTATAGATAGGATTGCCTACGTTTATTATATTATTTTATATTATATGTATATATAGGCACATGCGTGTATTTACTTTCTAAGCGTCTAGACTACTATAATACGCGCGGGACAATACGATAAAAAACCAATAATTCCAAAACATCATCACGGATAGAAAAATTTTTTTAATAAGATATCATTATTATAATACGAGTTTCACGGTCTAATGCCAAAACCGCGACGAAAGTGTGCCTATAATATTTTCTTTCACTACTTATACTTATCGCGGAACACGATCGCATTTTTGTTGGGCACCGATATTATTGTTATTCTCTGTATCTAAGGAATCGATTCGAATGACATACCTTACCGTAATAGCCGTATACCTACTTCTATATAACAATTACCTGACCCATACAACGAACAACGTTTTGCCATTAGAATAATATGTCTACCATTAATAATACTACCTTCGATGTGATGTCTATAGACATACTTTATTTTACAATATACATTATAAATACCATACTATTATAATACACGATGCGATTTTCAGTAGAAAATCGTAGACGATTACAGCCGTTTGGCCGTAAAAATTCCAAGATTAGGTTAATATAAAATGAACCCGGTAAATTATTGATGGGTACTGCTGCAACTTCAGTTGTTGAATTCGAAAAACCCCCGGGAATCCCCTTTGAAAACAATGTCTACGATTTAGCTACAAGTTTATAACCATAAGGTTTTGCCCCGGATTCTACCAAATGTTTTTGAAAAGTTTCGGTGCCTAAATTGTAAATAAATACGAATAAAAATAATTTTCAAATTCTGAACGCAACAAAAAATGTGTTAGTTTTAATTTGTGAGCTCGTTTTGTTACATTCTGTTAGCTACTTTTCTAGCAGAAATATTGATCTGATTTACAAATATTTCTTTCCTGGAAGAAATTTTTGGCTAATTAATGCATTAGATTCTAATAATTAGAAGGTTGGTTTTTGATTTTCCTTGCAAATTTCTTAATATTTTACGGCAATAACGATTAGGTTATATATTCACTCTGAAATATTCACAACATACTTATAAAGTATAAAGCCTTTTAAAGATGTGATAATATTGTTAAAATACTTTTACAATATTTAAGCAATTTATAAGCATTGGAAATTTTCGAGAGTTTTTAGTTTTTAATATTATTTAATTTTTAGGTTTTATGTGAATACAATTGTTTTGGCCAACCAGAAAAGCTTGAAATTTAACATAAGGTACATCATAGGTTGTACTTAATAATCAAAAAACAAATTGTTAAATGCAATGTAATTTTATAGCTTAAATTTTGACGAAAATAGTAAAAATCACGGCATTTATAAACATGTTTAACCGAACTTCCCTGAGAATCGTATTTCTTTAGTAATGATTTATCATTACGTATAGATAGAAATATAGTAACAAATATACAAATATATAAATATAGTAACATTCTATGAATCTTACCTTCCCGACTTCCTTACTACAAAAGTGGCACAGCTCCCACATCTACTCTTTTTTTGATAAGAAGTAATTCATTGAAATCCGTTAGCAAATTATCAGCTATTATAATCGCGATATATTATTATTAATAACGCATAGCCATTGTGATCAGGGTCATTGACGTATACCTATATACTTACATATTATACCTATACCTACAGTTGACTTGTGAAATGCACAAGGTTTTTGAACTCTAAAAAATAATTATTAATATATTATTTATAAGACAAAACGTATTATAAGTTAGAAAGTTGGACAAATGCATTGGATAATAATATTATCGTATAAAACCGGTTCACTGATATATCGCACATTTGAGTGCCTATATTATATATATATTTATATATATATATATATTTTGTAACAGCGTGAAAATATAAGAAATATAACGGTTCTAATATATTGTATTGTGATTTGTTAAATGATAATATATACAAAGATGAACGAATAGAAATGTGTATGACGTCTTACATATTTACTGCCACAATAGTTTAACTAGTGATTCGTAACGGGGAGGTACCGCCTCCCATGTAGAATTTTGGTCTCCCAAAGGAAAATAGATTTGAAGAGCTTTTATTTAAATTTAGAATACTGACTCATATACATATGATAATTTTCCCTATTTTTATTTATAAAAAAACAAAACAATAATGTTATTAATTATTGTGGATAGACAAAAAAATCACATTTTCGAAATTCTTCTTAGTGTTATATACGCTATTTAGGCTCATTGCTGTAATAACCACTCATCTTTAACGGTTTTTCACCTTTGCTAATTTTTCCCTGTTCTCTATTTAAAGCTCTTTCAAGTCATTGACCACTAGGGTGGTCCTTATTAACTAATAAAACAATTATGCCTCCCTCGAAATCTTTTCCAAATAGAAAAATAAAAATTTCCAAATTTGGACATTTTATCTTATAATTAATTAATATTAAGGGGTGCTAGCGAGCACTTTATTTTGCATTAAAACAAAACAACATGAAATTTCAAAAAAATCTTTGATAACTTTTTTTCAGACTTATAAAAATTATGAAAAAAAAAATTGAATACTGTGCAAAAACCATGTGTTTATGTCGAATATTTTTTACATCTCCAACAAAAAATCATATGCATCGAAAACGAAAATTATTCAATTAAAAAAAAAAATGAATCGATTTAGCCGATATAATCAGGATTCCATGTATTATTATGTGGATTTTTATTTAAATGTTAATGAAAAAAATAGATCACTATTTATTAACTAGAAATCATTGAAATTATTTGAAAAATTTGAAATAAATCAAGAATTCAAAAATCCTTCTCTATGGGCTGAAGATAAATTCTTTCAAGAAAGATCAAATATTAGGTATTAGAAAATTTAAAATTGTCACTGATACTGAACTTAATTGGTTTTTTAGTTAATGGAAAATTATAATAATAATTTGACTAAGAACGAGGATCAGAAGTAATATATAATGCAAATAATATCCGAATATCGTAAACAGTTTCAGAGTTTAAAAAAACAAACAGTTATGAAAACATTTTCATAATAAACATCACTGTACAAATAGATTTCATTTTTTTTCAATAAAATACCGATTAATTAATCATTGTAGAAAAAAAAATGACTGTTGTTACTTTTTTTTTTTTATCATATCAATAATAGAATTTTTAATATTTCTGCAATTGAAAAAGAAAACTCTAATCGAAAATAAAGTATCAAATAATAAAATCCAAGCGCTCGCTAACACTCCTTAATATTAAGATGGAATGCCTAAATTTGGATATGGTTTTTTTCACCTATTTTGAAGATTTCAGAGGAGGAACAATATTTGTTTTTTAGGATCGTATACGCAAGATTCTTTCTTGGACATATACGACAAGAAAACACAAAAAAAGATAAAGATTAAGATATTTGATTATTGATTTTTTAACATCAACACAAACGAGTCTTCCAAAAACTGTTTAAACTGGCTGGGCTCGTTCTTCGGGGATTTCCGTCCGAAGTCTCGAAGAAGAGTGATTTTTATAATCTTTTTAAATAATTTTTTATAAAATAAACGCATCAGCTCGCGACAGTAGCGCGCTGTCTCTTGTTACAGCCGGCGACCACATAATATATTTTGCTAAGTAGACGCACCTATAATAAAATATTTCAACATAACAATAATAATGCCGACGGTGACAATCGTGTAAAACATTATTACAATATGTTGAGATATTTTATTATTATAATTGGTGCCTGGATATACTACATTAGTAAAGGACCACCCTATTAACCACTCTATCCTTCGATTTTTATCTGGAACGTCTTGGTCTTTTTGTTTTTGGCTTCAAAACCTGTCTTGTTTGTAACCTGTCCAATTTTATCGTTTCACGTGTTCAGCCCAGCTCAACATACTACTTTTTAGGGTCCTATTGATATTTTCTTCTCTGTACAGGTCTTGAATCCTCTTTATCTTTATCTTTATACTAAATTCTCCAAAGTATTAATTTTGGGTCTATATATATATATCTTAATACCTTTCGTTCAAAAGTCGCTAGATCAAGTTCACCTGACTTTTATGTGGTCTATGCACCATACACATACAAAGCAATTGGTATCACTAGAACTTTGAAAAGAGTTATTTTTGTGATCCATGATAAAAACTCCAATAGAGGTATCAATCCAAAATAACATCTGTTTATCTCTGCCAATCTTAGTTTTATCTCATCATGGTTATTTTCATTTTTGTTAATGTTTACCCCTATACTTATTTTAAATTATTAACTCTTTAAAATGTATAGTCACCAATATTTTGGTATCCCGCTCTAAAGTTATTACAACTATATATATAGTATTTTCCTCATTTATTATTAACCCAATTTTCTCGTAGTATCCTTTAGACTAGCTTCATTTTTTACTATTACAACCAGATCATCTGCATGTGCAGCCACAATCTTCAAAATACCTATATATACTCAAGGTTTTCTTATTTTTTCTCCTCGCAGATTAAATCATGAGCAACCATAGACAGGCCATAGGATGGGCATTCCTGTGCCTGATAGGAACCACGTTGATGACGCCGGCGTTCACTTATCCTCAAACCCAGCGATGGGAAGAACGGTGGGACGAGCGATCTTCGCAACCACAAACTCAAAACGAGCAACAGCGGCCCGTATACCAAGCGCAACAAGGACAGTATCCCGTGTACCAGCAACAGGAGCAGGACGCGAGGAAATTCGTCGAAAAACCTAATGCCAGTAAGAAAGTGCAGGCGTCGTCTACCGGAATCGTAGAAGACCGCAACGACTTAGAAGACGTGCAAACCAATTCAATATCTGTAAGTTGAACAAAAATAAAATAATAATAATAATATGCATTCGAATATGCCACAAAGTGTGGAAGTATTAGATTCTAAAGACAAATGAGAGTAAATATATATTATAAATGTAGTTTAAGAAACGGTATTGAGGAAAGGAAAACCGACGAAGATATTTAAAGATGAGTTAAGTGTTGCGGAGAAAGATACGAAGGCATGTGGAGTAAACGAACAAATGTCGATGGATATTTTAGGGATGAGATGTGGAAAGCGATAGTACGAGAGTATAATAGCTGACCCCGTTAGCACGGGATAAAGGCGAAAAGAAAGATTCAAATTATTTATATAACTAGGTAACTGTTGTTATTATATGTAAAAAATGACATCTATTTTTATTTTTTTTCAAATTTTAGCAAGAAGGCGCCGGTGGCGGTTTCTCGTGGAGTAGCGTTTTGGGAATGATCATGCAAATGTTGTTTAATCCCGCAAGTGCGGCAGTCGGACCAAGCAAATCCGACGTATTAGACGGCGACCAGGTTTGTTATACAGATTTTAGATTCTGAGTAGAGCGAATAGTTTTTTAATTATATAAAATATAATATAATTTTCCCTCTACTACCTTCCCAACTTCTCATCTACAACAGAAGTCCACCCACGTGCGAAGTTGCCTAAACTTTAGATTCTGAATGTAGCAAATAATGTATTGGTTTTACTAAGATATTCTTTTTTTTCTATTCTGTGTACAAAAATTCGATCAGACATTTTTCTTAGATATTTACGCGTAGCCCCATTTCCGAAAGGGAATATTGTCCAGATGGTTCTTTTAGGAGGTCATTTTTTGATTTTCCATGCGGTTTTCATAATATCTAGGAAAAACCAGGATAAAACATAAGAAAAACGGGAAATTTACAAAAATAATGCTTTTATTATTTTTTAATTTTGTTATTTGTTGTAATTCAGTTAAAAATATTAGTAAAAAATTGAAGTTTAAACAGAAAACTTGTATTTGCCTTTTCTAGACGTGCTAAAATTTTCAAAAAATGTAAACAATTTTTTTTAGCTATTTATAGACATTTTAATTTTGCGAGTTTTGTATGTGATTTTTATTTCTACTCTGTGGTAAAATTGTTGGACTTAATAAAAATGCTTGAAAACTTAAAAGGAAGTTCATTAAGAGTCTTACTTTGTGGTCAAAAAAATAAAATTTGAGTTTAATGTAGTATCTTTTTTATAAGGGAATTTCAATGTCAAATTTTGACGAAAATTGTCGAGTAAAAAATTATATGGAACAAACCTAATTTTTCAATTTTTTTTTTTTTTGAACACATGTATATTGTCAATTTAAGAACGATGGTGAAGTCAGATTGAGCGGACTAAGTTTCGAAATTATAGCTTTTTCAAGTTCTGATATTATGTGGGTATTGTATGTTATGTTAAAATAACTAAATATTGTCTTCTCTATGGTATGTTTGTGGTAACTGAATAGTTATACATACCTATTTACATCCTAGAATTTACGAGTTCGAACCCGTGTTTCAAAAGAAAATTGTTTGAATTTTTTTCCTTTTTATTTAAACGAGGAAAAACAAATGCATTTTTGATGTACCTATAGGCCAAAGACATCACTCACTCAAACTATTTTAATCACAAAATACCCCTCGATTTGTTGTGCAAACTTTTCTTCCAAAAATCTTGCTCCGATATTTTAAGTGTAACTTATTTTCTACAAGAAAATTTAATCTCTAGGGTAACTTGGAGAGGTTATTTTTTTAATTTTGAGTAGTTCTCGCAATAAATGGAAAAAAAATCGTGACAAACGGAATAAAACGGAAAAATGTAAAAAATATATTAGTAAAATATTATATTTTTTTTTTTCTATAGACAACTTTTCTACCAGAAATTTTGCTCCAATTTACAATGATAGTACTTTTTCTAAAAATAAATCTGATTGGGGAGGTACTTTAGAGAGGACATTTTTCAATTAACTCAGGAGTTTTCTCAGCAAATGTGAAAAACTGGGAAAATATATAAGACATCTTTTTTTATAATGAAAATACTGTATTTATATAAACGTGATTATTATAATATAGTATAACCACCGATGAACGGATTTTAATTTTATAGGCTATCGCTCCGACATCACCTTGGGCCAATCTGTTGTCCGTAGGTCTGAAAATTTTAACTGCGTTTTTGGGCGGCGGCAACGTAGCCGGAGACGGAATCGACAAAGTGGATAATTCTTCGCCTATGCAGGTAATATTGTAACACACAGCAGTAATGAAGAATATATATATTATAAATTTTATAATATTATTATTAATAAAAGACGGTTCAATTAAAAGAAAAAAAATGTATTTCAAATATTTAGACGAAAACAACGATTAATTTTAATATTATTTTTTTTTTTTCGACAATTATTATCGAGGAAACAACAAACACACGCAGTTTTTCGTTGAACCGTCTTTAAAGAAAAATGTATAAATCAAATTCGGACCGGGGATATCGTAGCTAGTGTTCGTAGAGAATTTAAATGCACCTTCTATAATCTGTCACTGTTTTTTAACAGTATGTACATAGTACAACAGTAGTATTAACTACATGTAGTAGTTTTCTACTGCATGTATAGTAAAGGTATGAAGTAAATGTATGAAGCTTCGTGAATCGTGATGCGGTTTATAAAGTATTAAGCGAATTGCGATACATCCGAAACGTCTAATTTCCCTTTATAATACAGTGTCCTACAGTATAATCTGAATACTAATGACGCTATATTCATTTTTTTACATTTTACAAATATAGTCGAAATTAAATTTTTATTTTCATCCCTTAATCGCTAAAAATTTTTTTTTAAATTTAAAAAATAACAATTTTGTAAAATATATTTTCTAAAAATCTGAATGTATCATACATTTATACATATCAACTATTGATTGAATATGAATGTATATTCATATTCAATCAATAGTTTTTTAGTACCAGCCGTTTTAATTTCTAACATAAATGTTTTATTGCCTTGTATTACGATTTACGACTATGATTCGCTATCACGTAACGTGGTAGGTTCGTTTTCCACACCTTTCTCTAGATATCAAACTAGCTTTTTTCAGTGGTTAAGGAATGATGAAAATATAAATTTAAGATTTCTCTATATTTCACCCCCCCCCCGACATAAAACCCGATTGAAAAACAAAATTAATATTAACCGAGTTATTAGCATTTGGATAGCACTGTAGGACACCCAGAATTATTCACGCAATCATTATTTGTTAACTACCCCTATATTTACATTAGTTAAATATTATCATCGTTAAATGTTTCAAGATTTTTATCACACGCGAATTTATAATACATTTTTACCCCCAACGACGGTATAAAATATATTTGCTTATTACTTTAAACGTTTCGGTTATATCTTATTATTATATATATAATTATGGCTTCTTTTTTTTTCTTTTTTTTTTTTAAGGAAAAAATTTATATAAATACACTTGTTTGCTTGTCTGTTCTGTATAGTGTAGTTTTGATTTGTTTTGTTTATTAGGAACACTTATATAGCCATTATAACGTGTACATATAATATTATATTTATCGAGTGAATAATATTACTACGTCCGACGATATTCCATTCACTTACCAATAAACTCTAATCGAATGCGAACAAATTCGGTAACGTCCCCGGTCCCCAAGATCAACAACCAGTGGCGTATTTACACGAGGAGTGTTCCGGTTTCTCCAATTTATGTTTAAAAAATAAACCATCGTAATATTATAATTTTATCTGTGTTAAGTGAATTCATTTGAAAAACTCCGCGTAAACGTATAACATATCATAATAATAATAATGGAGACGATAAACTATTTTTCTCAAAGCGCAGATGTTTCACACACTTCCCTTCGTATAAAAGAAAATCCGTAAATACGTCACTGTATGACACAAAAATTAAGCTTTTCTTCTTTCTTTTTTTTTTTTTTTTTTTACAAATATATTTATTATATTTAATAAACCGGTGTATGGTGGCACGGTACGTAGGGTGTATTGGCGGCGGTCTTATCTACGGTACTCGGCAGCAGAGATCCCGATCAAGTGGCCACCATGGCCAAACAGGCCGGAGAGGTAAGATACCTGCAAACACACGCACTGCACTATATATTAAATATCTAATCATATTATTTAATGATGTGACATAAATTCGGATTCACATAAAACTCGTAAAAAATCGGATTTCATCAGACGACGAAATCTCAAAATATTTTTTTATTTTCTATATTTTTACTTATATGGATTTTTTAGGATTAAGATTTCTGTTATTTAATAAATCTTAAAAATTCGTTTTTTTTTTTTTTTTTTTATAAAATGTATTTCATACAATGATTATATTTTTTGAATTAAGCATACAAATATTAGAATTATGTATTGATATACAACTATAAAAACATACTATTAAAAAAAAAAAGTATCATAAAAATCGTCCAAAATTTCAAAATTCAATATCCGGATTTACTACAGTATAAATTGTTCAGATTTCAGTCATTCCGGATTTTTTCCTTCACTAACGCACACACACACACACGCACACGACTGCTTTAACTAACATATAAAACCTAATATTTTGAAGTACCGACGATAAATCTCGTCGTATTTAATACGAATACGTTTTTTTTTTTTTTTAACGAATGTTTCCGTGTGGTATTTACAGTTCATCAACATCGTCGTCAACCTCTTGGACGCCCTCAAGACGTCTTTCAGCCACAGGTCCATGTCAGCCAGATCGATGGGCAAAAAGGACACCATGTCCGACGCTGCCGTGGCCAGTTTGTCAATTTTCAAGGTAACACAAATGATAATAAATAATAATGTCATAATAATATTATTTTTAAATTTTAAATTTTTCATAAACACCATTAAAAAAAATAACGAGTTTTAAATATATACCATAAATATATAAATTAAAATATAGGAAAAATTTGTTTGACCGAGCCAGTTACATAGTAATAGAGGGGGAAATTTAGGTGTTTTTTCCCTTCCTTGCTTTTTTTGTCAATTTGCTTGGGGTGGTAATTTGGAGAGATTATTTTATGATTTTCCCAGGAGTTTTCAAAATAAATAGGAAAAACCGGTAAACAAAGTAGAAAAAATGGGAAAGGTTATCGTACATATTACGGTCTTTCAAAACCTGTACTCAGCTCAGAAACGTTTTTTGCTAGCAATGCTTAATCATTACGTACAAAATACACATTAAATTTCCTCTCTCCCTTTCCAACTTCTCACCTATAACAGAGGCCAATCATGCGAAAAATGTCCGTTTTTAAAATTTAAACTTTAAATATTTTCAATTGTACACTAAGAATATAGTTCGTTATTAAACTTAATGATAATATTCATCCAGCATGAACTGGAGTCCGATATACCTTTTTGACATAATATACCTAAGATATATAAAACCTTTTATATTTGTAATTACTCTACCCTGCTTGAAATTCTTCGAGAAAATCGATGGGAAATAATAATAATACAGAAAGTATCATATTGCCTATTACTATTTTAGGGAGCAAGTTGGAATGGAAAATGTAAAGTAATTTAATCTAAAGGAAATGATAAATCATTTATTCTGAACAGAGTATTATTAATCGTAGTTTTTCCTTTGTTTTCAAAGTATCCTACAAATTAACAAAAATTACACCAAAGTTTTTTCCTACTTATTAAAATTACTAGAAAAATCAAAAAATGTTACAAAAAAATTCTTATAAAGTTTTTAATTGAAGCAAGATTTCTGGAAGAAAAGTGATTTACAGACTCTAACAAAAAAAAAAACCGCTTAATAGTAAAACGAATATATTCTTCGCGTAACTTATAATCAAAAACTATACCCCTAAATAGGTAAGTAGAGAAGAAAAGAAATAAAACAATAATTTCTATTTGACGAGCAACAACGTTTCGATATTATAATATCATGTAATATAGTTAAGTACCTACGTTTTCATAATGCCGTAGTGTAAGCGTTTGGAGTTATAAAAAAAAAACAAAAACAATGCATACTGCAGAAGTATATTAAGAATATTATACTATTGCTACAGGTATTTATATACGGAACCAGAATAAAATTAGAAAATACTCGAAAACAAAATATATATTATATGTTATACAAATATAAAGAGAACGCGTCTCGAAGAATACAATAATGTGGTTAATTATTGTGTTACTTATGCTGCAGACATAATAGCGGACAAATAGCCAAACGCACTTATACCATGATAATAACGTTGTATATATTGTGTAAATACTTATATATATACTACATACATGGGTGGTAGTACAAATAATATGGTCGTGAAAACAATTGAAAGGAAGTAGACCAAAAAGAGAAAGAGAGTGAAATTATATTGCGAAGAGTACACCCAAGCCAAATAGTGAAAAAAAACAGGAAAGGCAAGGTCATGAAGTAATGAAATTTTATCGAAAAAAAAACCCCGTTTATTCGTAGATATGCACACTTTCAATACCTACTATACTTATGTTTACCTTAATGGACAGCATACAAATCATACACATTAATATGTCTATAATAGAAACACCATCACAATATTATTATTATATTTGTTCACTGCAATGAATTAAACTCGAGCATTCTTACTGAAAATATTATCATTAGGAGATTTTGTTTTAATAAAACTATCGAAATTTGTTTATAAATTTTGATCCGATTTATGATAACAATTTTTCTAAAAGGAAATCTGACTGGAAAGGTACTTGAGATAAGTTATTTTTCAATTTTCCTAGTTTTCCCAACAAATTAGAAAAACTGGGAAAACCGTGAAAAAAAACGGGAAAATAGGTACAATATTAAACAAATATTATTAAAGAAAATATATAATGCCTATGTCATAATTTGACCATAATATGGCATATATATTGTTGATAAAGCAACTAAACTATCAACTGAACTCCACTCAGAATCGTTTTTTCGTTAGCAATAGTTTATCGTTGGCTTAAATAGATACATTCAATAGCGTTTTTCGTTTTCAGTCATTATGCACAACGTCAACATTTTTGTATTTAACAACAATTTTTTAAATAGCTAACGATTGTTGTAACTAAACTATCAGTTTAAGTTTTTCCTTAAACCGTTGGTACTACCATAGAAAAGAGTCCTTTTTATTTATATTTCTATATTTATTTAATTCTATAATTCCCTAGGTTATAATTCTCATTAAAATTTCCCCATAATAAATAGAAATTACCTTTAAAAATTCATTATCACAGTTACGCTCTCATTTTCAAGTATATGTTTACCTACTTAGGTACCTATTAAATATTGAAAAGGAAAAAAAAATAAAGAGTTAAAGGACTTGAATGCAGAAAATTGTTTAGTTACATGTTATACAATGTTAATCATGCTCTAGTAAAAATATTATCTACTAAAAAAAATTACAAATATTTATTAACCTTAATAAGTTTTCATTGTATTTTTTTTTTATAGGGATACATGAAGACGATGAACACTGCCAATGACGTTTGCGCTCAGAAGTTTGTATGCGAAGCTAACAAGGAATGTGCGGGCGAAACATCAAGTTCTAGTGCCATATATTGTCAACTTGGAACGTGAGTACAAAAATTCAATATTTTTGAATTTGAAATATTAATAAAATACTAGAAAATTTAAAAAATGAAATTTTGAGTCAGTATACAAATATAATTCTACGCTATCAGCCTATTTATCTAAATGCACAAGAATAATAGCAATAGACACTACTCAAAGAACATGATTTTTATTATAGTAATTTAACATATTTTACTTAAAGTACTTTTGTATAAAATTTCTACATTAGGTAATTTACAGAGCTACTCAAAAAAAAAAAAAAAAACAAACATATAGTTTGACAAGAAATCTAAATTCCACTAAATTTTTAATTTTTGCTCCAAATTCAATTTTATTGGCCAAAATAAAAGTAATATTATAATATTGTGAGAAGGTACTATGAAAAAAATAAGGAGCGTGTTAACTAAAAAATATGTATAGGAATCTAAATTCTAAAACTGTAATTGATAGTATTGATACAATATCAACCTGAAAAATTAAAATTAAATGTCCCATGTCAATTTTTTATTATTTTTACCTTTATTCCGGTTTTGATTTGCTTGTATTTATATATTGAACGAAAAAAAATAGGTGAAGAGTGGGTAGTATTTCATTTCATCAATGTTACTAAGGTGATGCAACAAAGTAACTCATTACTTGTTACTTTTTTTGTATCAAAAATAACTAAAAACCTTTCATTCTCTTCAAGTTTTATTTTCACTACAAAATTAGACTATGTTTTTCATCAAGGTCCAGTCTATTTCTATAGATACCAAAATTTATCAAAATCAGCAGTTTAGGCATGAAAACATAACAGGCAGACTTACTTTTACATTTATAATATTAGTTAGAATTAGGATTATATCATTATATCATTATAAATGAAAAAAAAAACTAACACTAATTATTTGTTTAAAATTCTAGATACGCCACAAGTTTCATGCTACAGAGAACGGGAACCGCACCTTTCGAAGTATACTATGATGCAGGCAGACGTGGACGGTCCGGAGACGACTGCCGTCAACTTTACTTGGCCTGTAACGAAGTCTAGGAAAAATATTTATCACCTTCAGCACAAATTATTATAACAGTGTTTCTGCTCAACATAAATCTTACACCTATCTCATTGCCTGCAGTTTCATCATTATTTTATGATTCATATACTATTATGAAGTATTTTGCTCTCCTTCGATTAATTCGGCCTGGTTTTTAAAAACAAAGATCTCGTCTCCAACCATTTAAACATGTATACAAAATAGATCCGCACAATATATATATATATACATATATTTTATTTCTGAATACTTTATACTTTATTATATATTTATTCCTATTGTTTGTATAACAATACACTTTGTACCATAGTAGTCTGACCTATTTAATTATGTATATTTTTTAATTATTTATACTTTATTTATATTAATTTATTTTTTTTTTTTTTTTTAAATAAATTATCATAGGGATTACTTTTAATGGATATGTTATTTTATATTCTCTAAAAACCTATCTACCTAACAATCCTAATTTATTACAGATACACTCAGCAAGAGAAACAAGAAAAAGAAATCCAAATTGGAAATTTTGAAATTTAAACATTACACATCTTGTATGAATTCATACAAGATGTGTAATGTTTAAATATTAAGTTTAAAATAATTATATACGGAGGATTTTGCTTAATAAGGCCACCGGTTAATGTGGACAGCCGCCTAACATGGACAATGGACAGGTTTGATCTGGTCCCAATTGAAATGTATAGCAATATTAATTTTGGTTAAAATGAGCAATCGCTTAATGTTGGAAAATTTAACTGGTCCCAATGTACCCACAATAAGGGGAATCCATTGTAACTCAATTCAAAATCTAAACGAATTGTTTACTGTGCTGTGAAAAATTTACACAGATAAGTAGCGGAACAGAAGACTGCATTTTAGGTGGCCATCTAATTGGTATCTAACTTCAAAACAATTAGTTATTACTTAATTTAACATCAAAAAGCAAAAATAATGCAGTATTACTAGTAGTTCTTTTTGTTTTTTGTTATTTAAAAGCATACTGTAAAATTAAAATTCATTTTTAGTTAAAATTATAATGATACCTATACCTTAGAAATGTACTATGTGTTGCATAAATTTCTAAGTAAAATATACTGTAAAATACCTATTTTTCATAAATATATTTTTTTATAGATTTTAATATAAATATATAAATAAAATTATCATAATAAATCTAAAATAAAATTATCAACTTTATAAAAATGCTGAAGACTTTTGTGTACCATTTCTATTGAATATAAATTAAAAAGTAGTGTAGTGGAATTAGTTTAATATTTAACAAAGAAAAATGTATTTTGTATGTTAAATAAATAAAATAATTATCTAAAGTTCCATTTGAGTTGATTCAACACTTTCAATTAGATTGGAAGGGAAAATACCTGCAGTAGATACAGCATTATTGTATTTTCTGATATGTCCATTTGCATTGGGATCGATTTCCACGAGTCGTTTAATCAAAGAGATCATTTCTGAATATTTGTGTGTATTCATTGCATCTGAAGGACGCAATATTTTTGAAGCAATATAATCCTCCAAGGATGGTTTATCATTTTCATTTGCATTTTTTTCCTAAAAAATGTAAATTTCATATTATTCTATTAACTATTAAATTGTATATCTCAAAATGATTAAAAATAAATATTTACTAAATAGTAAATAATATGGTATATATTTTTTATAGACAACATACAATATAATTTTAAATACGTAGGTATTAAACAGATTTCAAATTTTTAAATTTAATTAGAAAGTGAATTTCATTATAAACTTAATTTCTTTTTTCTGTAAATTTTATACTTAATTAAATAAGTATATATTAGATATTGAAATTTACTTTTCCAGTTAAATTAAAGAATTGGAAATCTATTTGATATCTAAGTAACTATATTTACCTACCTATTAATATACCTAAATTATTTCATGTAGATACCTTAGTAGCAGGGGTTAAAGTATTATAGCTACTTAAAATTATATTTTTCTTATATGGTTCTCTCTGTCCATTTTGTATTATAAGTAGGTATCTATTTTTATTTAAACATTAATTATAGGTATAATAAAATTTAAAGATATTTTCTATTTAAATTGTTTTCTTCGAGAAATTAAAAATATCTAAGTCCTACATCAAACATATTTATAATTTTAAATCTACAATAAAAAAAATGACTAAAGAAAAAGAACAATAAAAAAAAAATATATCTATGAATAAATATAGATAAGTAATTATTGTAATAATTTTAAAGAAAATTTTAGTACAACGGTTACTTACACACAATGTATTCTCTGGCTCTCCTATTAAACTTAAAAGGCGATTTTCTAATGAATTCTGTGCATCTGTTGAATTGGAAACCTATGCCATATGAAAAAAAAGTAGGTAGAAATTAATCTCTTAAGCTGAGTATTATAAATTAAATTATAATAATTATTAATTAGATTTATTATGACTAGGTTAGGTTAGGAAAGATAAAAAGAAAAGCTGGAAGAGGTAGACTAAAAACATCATATTTTATGAAACAGATAATAGAAGACATGGAAAAATCAATTATAAAGAATTAAAAATAGCGGTGATGGATAGGGACGAGTGGAAGTCCATCAGTTATTGAACCAATCTAAGATTGTAAAAAAAAAAATAATTAAATAACATAAGTAGGTACCTAGGTATATAGATAGTACCAATAGTATAGTACCATGTTTTATAAATATATAAAACATGTTTAATTCATAGGTGTGACTAGACTTCATCTACAGCGGCAGCCTAGTTAATGACCGGCGCTACTTAATGAACTGAAAAAATCCTCTAGGAGGGAAGGTTAATCCCCCCCTAATAAAATATTTATAAAATTAAAGAAAGTCTGTATCATCTATTTACAATTTATAATGAACAGTATTTTCAGTACCTTTAAATTTAACTACAGAAATATTATTCATGTACAGATATGGATTATACCGCCATATAAGTAATTAATAAAATATATGGTATGTTAAAATATAAACTAATAAAAATGATAGACAATAGAGAATAGAGAATGATATTTTGTTATTATAATAAAATAAACAATTGTTTATTATAAAAAATTAATATAAGAAAACTTTTTTTTAATATAAGTTGTAAGTAACTAGACATACAATTCGGTTAACTGGTGTCAACAATTACAGGGGCAGTGCAAGCACCCTAGGCTGCCACCGTAGATATGTATATGGTTTAACTAACATTTTGTAAAGGTACTGGGTAGATATAATTTTGTATGTGTACATATTACATAATCATATATAGTAATTTTAATATTTATAATTCCTAATTATTATACCTGTATGATATCGAAATAGTTTTGTCTAAATGACGGATTTAGGCTGTCGCTGACAATGTTTGAGATAGAAGTTGCAATTATTTGACAAAGCTCTCTGTCGGTCTTTTGGGAAATCGACTCAGCCATTATATTTATTTTAATTTTGTTTAAAGTAATGAAGACAACTTTTATACCTTTAGCTTTGAATAATTTTAACTAATGGATAAATAACTTAGATACTGCGGTAGTGCGGTAGTACGGTACTGACTACTGAGATTGGATTGGGATAATGTGGTCATTTAATTTTAGCTATGCGTCCATTGTAATCTTAGATAACCATATAGATATTAGATATTATGTTGATTGATTTTAGCAGTTCTCTTAAAATTGATTAACAAAAAAAATTTTATCAGATCAGATTGACCAACACTTAAACTTAAAATCTCGAGACCATTACCATAATGATAATTATATTTTATGTTAACATTTTTATATTTAATACATTTTGGTAAATGTATGTGAACTTAGAAAATGACGATAAAACTTAATATTATACTTTTATTCCTTTGAAATCAAAATTATTAGATATAGAGAATCGATAGTCAACAGTTTTCAGAATCGGGTTGTATAGATAGGTACCTACAATAATAATGATATAAAGTTATTAACTTAATATTTTTATGAACGGAAACTCTAAAATTCTAATTTTAACATTAATACTGCAGAGATAAGGACTACATATATTTAAATTTGAACTCAATTTGTATATTTTGGTGAAAAATAACATTTTAGCTCTTTCCAGTTCTGTACATCTTAGCCATGGTACAGGCTGACACACAAACTGATATTAAATTATTATTTGGAATAATTTCCATTTTTTTTGGTAGGTATGAGACATTATTTTTGTTTTTTCTTAACCTACCTTTAAAAATAAGTTAGGTGTTATAATGGTGACCGGAGGGTATACACGGGTATACGATATATTCGCGATTGAAAGGAACTATAATCAACACTAATGATAAGACTAACAGGGAGATGGACGCTATTATAGCATTAGAATAATAGTAATTTACCCAAAATAATCTATTTATTACTAGTTTTGATATTTCATTTTCTTATTAAATCTTATTTTGTTTACAATTTGTAGTAATCCATAGTTGTATTTGTATCTGTATTTATGTTTGTATTTGTAATACATAATATTTCATTTTGTAAGAGAAATTCAATATATTGATGATTTTAAATAACTTTTGTCGAAGGTTCAAAAATAATTAAAAGAAACCATATTATTAAAATAGGTTAAAGAGAAAAAAGACGTCCTAGGATAATAGGGACGGGTACAATCACTGTTATAGGTAATTTAATGTATACCTGTAAACACGATAAACCATTCTTAACGAAAAAGCGATTCTGAGCGGAGGTTAGATGATAGTGATGCTTTGTCAACAATATCTATGTCATATTATAGTAAAATAATTAAATAGGCTTTATATATTTTCTTTAATAATATTTTTTTAATGTACCGATTTTCCTTGGTTTGCTGGGAAAACTCTTGGGATAATCGAAATATAACCTCCTTAAAGAACCTCCCCACATCGATATCCTATCAAAAAAGATACTACACTTAAAAATCGGAGCAACCTTACAATGTAAGTAGGTTCATTTTAGACACTATATTGTATGTTATATATTATGTAAGTTCATTAAAAGGTTGTATTTAATTTATACATTTTTGTAACCCATTTAACTAGGATAATAATTATCGTCATCCATAATATCAACAAATAAAAATGTATTTTTAATTATTACAACGAAACGAGATTATTACAAAGAAATTCATAAGTATATTATTCAATATAATATACATCTTCCCCCGTAGAGCAGTTCTAATAAATTCTACCAGGCAGCCACTGTTTCACTTTTAATCGCGAATACCCAAAAAACACTAGAATTCTTAAATGCGTAGTACGATTTAAGAAAAACTATCTTTTTAAGATAATTAATAAAATGTTAATTTTAAATAGTGATGCGTATTGAATTTGTATGACCATTTTCAAAATTTATAAATAACCCACTTTCCGGTAACACGCGAAATAATACTCTTACTAAATATTACTCTTCAAATGTTGTTGAATACATAGAGTTTAGATTTTTAAATTTGTTTTTTTTTATCCCAAAAAACAAAACAATGTATGTGTATATTAAAAAATATTTATATTTAAATAATGACTATAGATATGTAATTTTTATTGGGATATTAAGGTATTAGATTTCAGTAAACACTGAGTTGGCAACACTGGTGATGGTGACGGATATAGCGATGGGATATCAAAATACTGTATGTTTATAATCAGTGATTTTATTCTATTATTATTTATCCACATAAAATGTTAACAAATAGGTACTGTGAGTTATATTGAATTATTTTTGTACAGTCAGTTCTGATGTTCACTCTTCATTGAACATTTCATTGTTAAAATGTTTTATTGAAATTAACTGTTTTCATATTTAAATTCTCAAAATATTACATTGTTTCGTGATTATCTTTAACTATATCCTGACATAGTTATAGAAGCAGTGCTTCAATTTAAAGATAGAATAATTTTGGAAGACAGCGGTGAAAAAAGCAAGTGAACAATGTCTTTTAATTTTAGGTTCTGAGCGTAGCGAAAATGTATTCCCATCGTACAAAAAAACGTTTCAGACGTTTCAGGATTATACGTTTTAAGTACCAGTGCTAATATAACAGTGAAATGTTTCCAGGTTGTCTTTAGAATGTTTTGTAAAAATATGAGTGATTACATTTTAAGTTCCACTGTAAACATATCGGTGAAACATTCTTTAATTATTCCATAAATGGTTTCAGAAAACATGGCGCCATATACGACATTATATATATATATATATTATGTTAATATTTATTATTTATGTATTAAAGTCGATTATTTACACACAACAGTGACGTGACAGTTCAGGGATTCCCCCGGCTAATTAAGAATAAAATAATCTTAAAAAAGAGACAAGCTTGTAGTTCTCATTCACCCGACGCATAACCGTATCATTGCAAAAAATGTCATCGTCACCGTACGGTGATATTTTTTTATATTTTTTTGTATAACATATACAAACCTATAGGACATATCTATATGTCCAAATCCTTTTTTTTTTGCACAAACCTCGTGGTTATCCATTAATACTTGTTTTCATTTGGAGTTACAATAATGTTTATTTTTAATCGAAATTGCTGTCATTTTTACAATTCCTGAAAACTATTTTCGTACACAGTTGATATTTAAACGCTCATAAATTAAAACATAAAGTTATCTTTCTTAAAAATTGAGTACAACTTATAATAAACATTGTGTTGAATTGTCAAATATTTTGGATTGATCAAAGTTATATTTACATTAACTGCCAAATAATAAGTACGCGAAATTCTGAGATTCTTACGATTTTCGTCAGGTTACTTTTATAGTTATGAAAAAAATCTAATACATAAAACTTAAATTTTGTTTTTCAATCACTATGTACGACTTATAATGAACCTTGTGTATAATTTTAAATCATTTTTGTTAAAACGATAAAAATTTAATTACAAATACCTACCATATACAAAAACACAAACATCAAATACCTATAATTAGGTATTTATAGGTATATATATATATAAATAGCCAAAAAGAACCAGAATGTTTTGAAAACTTTACATGTCTAAAAAACGGTAATATAAGTATTTTCTGAACTTTTTAGGTATCCAAAATTATTTTTATGGAAAAACAACAATATAAATAAATGCCGAACACTTTGCCGTACTTCCTAAGTTTTTTCCTGGTTTTTCGTAATTATTAGAAAAACTGTAAAGAAAATTCAACAACTGTATCTTATTCTTAATCTAGAGAATTTTATCTTTCAGAAAATATACTTTTTTTGTAATTTGGACAAATATTCTATTTTAAAAGAGAATATAAAAAATTTAATAATGAAATCGAGAAAATTATTTTGGATATCTAAAAATGAATCTCAAGGTCAGTGTCTAGATGTTCTTAGGACCAAATTCGATCTCTTATGATTTTTCGATTGGAGCAAGATTTTTAGAAGAGAAGTTGTTCAAAGAGACAAAAAAAAAAAAATAATAAAACAAATAGATCCCTCGCTTCGCCAAAAATTCATTTTTTGAAACTCTTGGTGAGGAAGTATACGAATGATACCTAAAACACACAAACATATTTTTTTTACTTCAGAAAACAAATTGATATTACTAAATATTCTTAAGACATTCTCAGAAATAATTATTGTTGTTTTAATAAAATTAATTATTTTCATTATAATGAATGTAAAGTACATTTATAGCTTAAGATTTATATTTTATTTTGAAAGGTAGTTGTAACAACTTACTCTGTTTGGTATGATATTAGCTGTAACTTAAACAGTAATATGAATGAAAAGTCAATACACACATTCATACTTCGAGATGCCCTTGGCATAAAACAAAAATTAGGATTTGGTATACGTAACAATAAACTTGAACACGGTTTAAATGCTAAAACAAATCAATTTTTAAATGACAGTAAGCTCCATAAAATAAATCAGTTTTAAAGTTTTAAAATAGAAATTCAGCATTAAATAGGTATTTGATTTTGAAATTAAATTGTTTTAATAACACATTTTAAATGAAACTAGTAACTGTAGTAGTCAGAATTCAAAGATATTGCCTGAAAAACAATTTGCTATCATTTTTTCATCCAAACAACAATTTACAACGAAAAAAAAAAAACATTGAGTTCAAGAACGTGTTATGAAAAATGAGTGGAGTCCTATTGTTGCAGAACATTTTTGGGAGCATACACATCTACCACGTTGCAAGGTAAGTTAAAAGTAAACATTTATTTTACTAAATTCATGTTTTTCAATTTTATAAGTTATAACAACTGATATAATTTTATTTATTATTACAGAGTGCTTATGCAATGTTCATACACAGGAAATTTCAACGAATTACATAAGACAAAAAAAACGCCAAAGGGTTGGTTCTGCACAAAGTAAAGCTATTGTAGCTATAATAAATAATGGTCATTCAAGTGAATCATTCAGAGAAATGGAAGCTGTACTCTCATGCCAACTCATAGCCAACTCATGCCTGGAAGAAAATGATAACGAAAACCAATTTAAAGGACTTAATGATATGAATCCTTTCCAAGCATGGGCAGAAACAGTATTTAATGAAACTAAAAGTTATGTACAAGAAGGGGTCTATAAATCCATTGTATGTTCCGAAAATAGTACTTCATCTAATTAAGATGATGAAATTTCTGCCATTGTGGTTGGGCATAATGGTACCTTTTTTTGGATATGAAAAACGTATTTCTAGTTCTGCTGCAGTCGAATCTAGTTTTTATAAACTCAAAAATGTAATGCTAAAGCATATTTCTTTACATACCGATATAGAAATATTTTTAGAAAACCATATATGTTCTTTAAGAGGAGCATTCATTATTATTACATTCTACTCAAGAGTCAGAGACAAACATAGAAAATGAAATAGTTGAACCAATCAAAGATACAGGTCAAAAAAATAATTTATCTGAACTAGAAATACAGAACTCATAGAGGAACAGAATAATACAAATAATTTACGAAATTTAAGATGCCTATTGTATAAATCTGAATCATTACTTTCTAATAACAGAGCTCATAAATGTTCAGTATGTAAGAAGCCAGTCCATGTACTTCCAGAATGCTCAGCACACCAGCCAGATGACGATGAAATATTTATTTGTTATAGTTGCTTAGAGAGTAATGAAATACTTATTGAAGATAATGCAACGGATGAATGTAACCAAAAATGTAAAAAACAAATTAAAAGTAGTTCATATCTCTTTACAAATCTACATTTACGGCACATGAATTCACAGAATTAACGTCTTTTACCTTTGTTAAAAAATGGATCCTGAGCAGAAGAACTTAAAGTTGTAAATTAAAAAGTTGAGGTTCAAATGTAGTTTTAAGTCCCAGTCAGTTCTTTTCAGAAGGGATTGTAAAAAATAAAACAAATATGTTGATTTTATATCAGTTGGTTTCTAATGAAATTGCTGCATACACATATACAGATAGAGCAGAATTAACTATTTTGTTACTTAATCCAGTATTAGAAGCACTTGAATATAATACTTTTTTTTGTAAAGTGTGAGACTACACCTAAGCCTATTTGCAAGTCTATGTTCAGAGAGTTTCCATGTATCATAGAAAGAAGTAGTTGTTCTAATGAAAAATGTGAAACGTTTCAAAAAACATACTATCCGATCTACATTATAACATATAACATCACAAATAGCATCATCAGTGATGATCTGCAAGAATTTATTAGTTACCAATTTCAAAATGAACAAATTATACCGATAAATTGGAAAAATCTCAATACAACAGTCATAGAAGAACAAGGTTTGAAGAATCGCTATTATATTTACTAATAGAAGTTTTATTTTGGATTGGTATGTAATTTTTAAATTGTTTTTAGTTGCAAATACATTAACAACTTGATTTCTATATTTTTAGGAGAAAACACGGAACAGAGTAGTTAGGCTGCACCACATGTACAAATTAAGTTGGGTGATATCCCTGCAATCATGTTCCATGAATCTACAACTTAATTTTTAAGAGGAATTTTAAACTATAATAAAGGCAAAAGACAACTAAGAAACTCAATTGGACTCTTTACTGCCTATTGTAAACGAGAAGGACGTAATTGGGAACTATATGATGACCTCAACACAAAACCAAAAGCTATTAGTATAAATACTGTGATCACATGTGAAATGTTATTGTACACCATTTGATGCAAAATTTTATATTTGTAATAATATTATTTTTAAATAATTGTTTTTAATCATTTAAATTGTATAGTAAAACGTCCACTAAAAGTTTTAAAAAAGATAGAGTAATGAAAATTATTAAGTATGAAAAAGTATACAACATGTGTTTTAATTATTTCAATATTAAAATATCTTCCTTGTTCTATCTCCATCTGCATTGTGGACTTTCATACCTAGAATTTAGCACAAAGAGAGATCACTTGTACTTCAAGTACATATGTAAGTGATCATACTAACATATTAATTGAAGTATAACAAGATTTACCTGGAACATAGAAAAAGACAAGTCTTATTTCCATATATATAATATAAATGCAAAATATAGATATATCGCATGATGCGCCAATAATTTAATAAAATAAGATTAAGGTTACCATTAATTATAAAAACTGCAGTATTTTAAAATCACGCAGCGCCATATCCGTCACCACCACCAGTGTTGCCAACTCGGTGTTTACTGAAATCTAATACCTAGAAATTCTAATTAAAAATACTTAATTATTTTTTGGGAATTTGATTTTGGGGCACATGGCGACATGGACGTTTCATTATGGCGTATTACATTAGAATGTCTCTGTTGGTTAAGCTGCAAATAAATTCTTGCTTTTACAAACATTTTTAATTTTAATACTGAAGAGGTTATGTGTTTGAGATCGTTTCATGTTTTTGAATATCATTTCTTAAATTATTTAAATTAGCAAAACCTTTATGAGACCAAACATTTTTTTCCCTGGTGAATAAAACACAAGGCCAACAGAAAAGTTTATTTAATTTAACACTACCAGTCAACCATAGAGTATTTAAATAATTAGAAATATTAAAGTGGCGAATGTAAACTTTGTTTTTTTTCTTTTGATTAGTAGTCAATTTTGGAATTTCTGGACATAGTCGACCAAACAATTATTTGAATTATAATTCATTATCTATAAAACAATTAAATAGAAGCACGGCAAATAAAATTTGATTCCTCCTAATTATAATAATTTATTTAGATGATGATTATCTATATTCTATAACTACAATGTTATACTGTAAGAACTAAGAATATACTTACATTTAAATTTGTTTTGTAGATCACAAAATGAATAATGATGGGTTGTAGGCAAATCGACGGTTGACTAATAATAATATTATAATAACTATACGGGACAGGCAATCTAAAATACGAGCGCATCTGTGAATATCATGAAATTGCCTACACGAAAAAATTAATTTAATTTCTTTCGAAGTAACCTGATAATTTTTTTTTAAATTGAATACTTAAAAAAAAAAAAAATAATTAATAGTTGTAATCGTGATTTTTCGGTTAAGTCGTATTATCATATACGATTTAAATATCATTTAACATAATAAATATAAAACTTCATTTCTTTCTTTTTGGCCGGGCATGCGCCGCTTATCTAACTCAGCTTGATCACACGCCACTGGTTTTTTGCCCCCCCCCCTTAAATGCGGTTAAATTAATAATTAAGTAATTAAAATTTAAAATCTTAGATAAGCAAAAAAAGGGTCATTACTATACTTTTAGTGATGTCCCTACCATCCACAGAAAAATTGTCTGGATTCAACATTGGTTATATTTAAAGACCGGATTTAATTGATGTTGCAACTTTTTTTGCAATAAAGATAAATCAGATCTGATTAAATATATATTTGATTTATACCAAAAATATTCTGTCTATTTAATTTTATAATGCAATTTTTTGAAATTTTCTCACGTTTTTCACGGAATTTTCTAGAAGTTTGGAAAGCCCAACACGTGGCAACAGTGGCAATAAAAAAGTATTTTCATCAGATGGAAAGGTTATATATTGTCTCGTTTGTAAAAAATCTGTGTCTACTGAAAAATAATATCTATTAGATCATCATTCCAAAACAAGTAAGCTTTGTATTTTATGTTCATACTACACGTAATTAATACAAAATACACGTATTATTTCCAATATATATATATATATATTAGTTTAACATATAAATGCATTACAAACGAATAAAAAAAAAAGCTTTTGATTATTTCTCAAAATTCAAATAGTAAAAATGTATGTAATGCATTTGTTGCTGCAAATATTCCTTTCCATAAGCTTGGCAATCATGTGTTAAAATTATTTTTGGAAAAATATACTAGCAAATCAATTACGGACGATAGCATTTTAAGAAAAAATTACATACCAAATATTTATAAAACCGTTATGGACCAAATAATAATTAGTGATATTGGAAATAATTACGTTTACATAATTGTTGACGAAACAACCGATCTAAGAAGTTTGTACAAATAATTTTTTTAATTTCTCATATAATAAAATACACTATTTTTGTTTAGGTTTGGCTGTTGCAAATTTATTAATCGGTAAATTAGATGGAACGCCTAGTAAATCATATTTAGTTGCAAAGAACTAGAATCCACCAATTACGAAACTATTTGTCAGTTTATTAATTCATCGTTAAAAACATTTTCTGGTATTGAAAAAAAAGTATTACTTTTTATTAGTGATGCCGGTACTTATATGATCAAAGCAGCAAAACATTGAAAATATTTTACCCAAAATTAATTCATATTACATGTATGGTGCACACAATAGAGTTCTAGAGAAAATTCAAGAATTGTATCCCGATATTAATAAATTAATTAACAATGGTAATATATTAAGTACCTATTTAAAATTTAAATACATATGTAATTTATTTCGTTTATTTCAGGAAAAAAAGCTTTCCTAAAAGCACCACCGAGAATAAATAAATACAGAAAAGAAATGCCGGGTATACCTTTACCACTTCAATTTCTTTAACTACTAAAAAACAATTGACAAAATATTTTAGTTTCAAATATATAAGATTAACACAAATTTTTACCTTGGAAGTTACATTGAACAACAGGGTATTTTTCAAACTTTCAAACAGAAAACTTTTTCTATTGTCAACTAACAGCACTTTGAACATTGAAAAAGAATGTTCAACATTAACGAAATTTATGGGAGCATATTTAAAATATACTGAATCGCCAAGGCTCAAGTTTTCAGATATTCTGATCATTAAAGTTTCTTCTCTAGATAAAATGTTTGAAATTTAAGCTAATATTTGGTAACCTTTATTTTTCTCTAAAACATCATTCATCTTTTCTTGAATCATTTTTCCCACTGTACCGGTTACTTGATTCAATTTAAAAAAAAAACGTTTTCAATTATTTATATAGTATCTGATAATGGCATATTTTTTACCTCAAGACTAGTCATTACGTCGGGGATAAAACCAAAATTAGATTTTATAAATACTAAGTTTGCGTCTAGACTGAAGTCAGCAAAATACTTTTGTGGGTTTTTAATTGAAATTGCCTCTTCTTTATTCAAATAATTAACAATGGATTTCAAAGTTTCATGGTGTTTACAATAATAACTTGCGGCTTTTATCCATGATCCCCACCTTGTAGTTATAGGTTCCGAGAGAAGTGAAAGATCAGGTGCTGTATTTTTAAATATAATTAACACGAGAAGGCGCTTTCAAGAAAATTGTTTACATTAGAAATTACTTTATCTACTTTTGATTAGTGTCTACGAATTTTTTCTACAATGCAATGAAGACCATGAACAATATACGTGACATGAATTACTTTAGGATAAAAAATTTTAATTGCATTTCCACTTTTTACCATGTAAGGATCTGCGTCACTTAAATATAACAAGACGTCGTTATGTCGCACTCCCTCGGGCCACAAAATATGCATAGAGCCGTCGAATAACTTTGCAACAGTCGAGTTATTAGTTTTAGGTAGTACTTCAGAGTTTAAATAAAAATGTTTGTCCAGGAGTATCCGTTTCAAGAGTACCAATAATGACGTTTACGACAAAGCACCTTAAAGAATCAGTAGTCTCATCGATGGACACCCAGATTTTTTTTGTCAATAACAGCATTTCTAATTTTAATTAATGTTTCATCATAAATTTCATCTGTGTACCCTTTTCGTAATGTGGTCACGGCTGGAATTATTTTGCTAGTATATTTTACTAAAAATGATTTAAAAGATTCATCATTTAATTTATTTTACGGTATATTGGCCGATAACATTGCAGAACACAAATCTTTATTGAAGTACGATTTTTTGGTATCAGTTAGAAAATGCTGTTGAACTTTTTTATATTTACGTTTTTTTCTCTCTGGGAAACTAATTTCAGATGTTTTCCCGTTGTTAAATGTTGTGTAACATTGAACCTTTTAGCACTTCCACACTTGATATCACAAATTTTACAATAAAGTACTTCACCGTCCTTTGAGAACACCTTAGGACCGAATTCAGACACAATGTGATTTAATTGTGAAGATAAAGACACTTTAGGCAATTTAGTTAATAAATAGTAAATAGAAACGCGTTTGGAGATATGGTCGACGGTTAACCGTTGAGAAACACAGTGATTACTGAAATATGAGATGTTCGATTTCGACCACAGCCGTCCCCGTGACTCGTAACGATAATATTTTGTGCGTTGAACAATATTATCTTATCTGTTTATAAATAAAATGAATAACCCGACAATCAATCTAATCGTCAACTCTCGAGACATATTTCTAGGAAAAACATGCGTCTGGGAAAAATCAACAATCATATTTATATCATGGTCAAAATTTAAAATAATTTTAAATTCAACGTTATTTTGTTTTTATTAATTTATTTAATTAATAAAAACGTCAACGAAAAAAATATTTATAAAATAATAAATTGTTAAAAAAATACATCTAAAAGTATAAAATGGAAGAATTATGCCCTAAAAACCAAAATAAACGCAAAATATGCATTTATATGCACAATAAAATGTCAAAACTAGCTTTATGGAAGCATGAAACTTATTTGTTTCTATTTTTGTGACCATGCAAAAAAAATATGCAAATGCTTCAAGTCCTCTGTCCTAGTTATAATATATGTAAGAACTTCGGTCTTGTGATCTTTACATGGAAAATATAAAATATTGTTCTTAGTATTAAAAAAATTGTCAACTGTTAGTAAAAAAAGCATCAGGATTATCATTTAGAGAATGATTTTTCCACCAAAGTTTGAAAGTTAAACATAAAATTATTTGAATGAATTAATGTAGCTCTTGATTTAAAATTAATCAAAGCAACTTCTGCTCTATTGAAATAATAAACAATATTTATTTTTAAGAAATAGTGCCACACGTACATATCGGGGCAAGATTTCTGGTAGAAATTGTTATCATAGTGTATAAAAAAAAAAAATAATAATAAATATTTTTTAAAACTAATCTTTGTACTATCTTCGGTACACTGAGAATCTAAAAAATTATGTCAAACAATATATTGATTAATGTACCTATTATATCTACTTTTGGACCAAATGCCGATGTACGTCCACTTTTCTCAGGTGGGAGAGAGAGGCGATCGCTGCCTTCCCAGGGATGCGTCTGTTTAATCAAAACGAATTAAAAAAGAATTGCATGATAACCAAGCGTTACCCTTTCAAAAGTACACGGTTTCTTCTTAGTTCTGTAGTTAAAACACGCCGTCGCGTATCGTTACTTGTTTTGGGATACCTATTGTATAGATGGCGCTCGATACCTTGTACTTTTAAAAGGGAAACATTTGATGACCACCACCAGGTTTAATTATATAACATTTTTAGATTTTAAGTATAACAAAGAATGTAATGGTTTTACAAAGTTTATATTTCTATACTGTGTATACAAATTCTACTAGTAATCTTGTTCCGATACACACTTGGCATGATTTCGGAAATACATATCACACAAATCATTGTTTGATTTTTGAATCGATTTTCATAATATTTGGGAAAAACCGGAATAAAATGTCGGAAAAACGAAAAATGTAGGTATTAGTAAAAAAAATATTGTGGGCTTTTTTCTGTGTACAACTTTTCTACCCGCAATTTCGCTCAGATTTAAAATGATAGCATATTTTCTGAAAGGAAATCCGGCCGGTAAGGTACCCTAGTGAGGTCATTTTTCGATTTTCCTAAGAGTTTTCCCAGTAAATGTGAAAAACGGTACAATATTAAACTAATATTTAAAAAAAATATATAATGCCTATTTAATTATTTTATCATAATATGAAATGCATATGTATATATTTATAACAGTGTCTACACTCGTCTCCATTATCCTAGGACACTTTTTTTTTTTTTGTTTTTCAAATTTGATGAGAAAACGCTTAAAAAAAAATCGAAAAATATCCTCTCTAAAGTACCTTTGTAGTGAAATTTCCCTTTAGAATTATTGTTGACAAAGCATCACTATCAACTGAACTATGAATCGTTTATTCGTTAGCAATGGTTTATCGTCGCTTATAGATAAATATTAAATTACATCTAATAGTCTTCATTATCCTTGTACGTCTTTTTATAACATTTGTTTAATTATTTAATATATATGTTTAGGTTTCGAGTTTAATTAGCCAATAGCAAATTATGTCCGGCGGTAGGCTAATTTTTTAATCAATTTGCTATTTAAGATTCTCAGTGCGAGAAATGTATTGGTTATACAATGATGTTTATTTTTTTCGGTGATCAATTTTTTACCAGAAATATTGCTCCGATTTACAAGTGTAGCACTTTTTATGAAAGGAAATCTGACTAGAGTGGTACTTAAGACAAGTAATTTTTTGATTTTCGTAGCTATTTTCATAATAAATGTGAAAAATCGGGAAAAAAATGTACAATATTAAACAAAATGTTTAATGTATATGTTATTATATATAATACCTATAATATGACATATATATATATTGTTGATAAATCAACATTAACGATTGAACGCCGCCCAGAATCTTTTTTTCGTTAGTAATGTTTAATCATTGCTTACAGATATATATTAAATTCCCGTCTGTATCCTACCTTCCCACCTTCAGCAATAGCTGCACCCATCCTCATTATTTTAGGACAGTTTTTTTGTCATATTTTTAGACATAGGATGGCATAAAGTGTATGGGCCTAGTTCACGGACTTCCAAATTTTATCGATAATTTCAGTCATCGTTTTGCTCTATCCTCGTAAATCCTAAAGGTAGTCAGCCCAATACATTTATACTTGAGAAAATTATTTTTTTTTTTTTGTAAGTACGAAGGTGAATATGAAGGTATAGTACATTAAAAAATATATAATAATAACTACCATAATTTACATAAGTACCTATATAATATTATGACGTTTAATAAATATTATTATTATAGCAACAAAATTAAATACTTTACGAAATTATAATAATTTTATATTATAGACAGTAGTTATAATTATTTAAAAAATCTAAAACACACATTAAAAAAAAAACAAACAAAATTAATTAAACTAACGGTTTATAGTACTGGAAACAATTATGGAACACACTTGACAATACAATAGGTAGTGATAAAAAAAAAAAAATAACAGTCATGGTCTGCATTTAACCTGAAAAACCACAACACCGTGGCGATGATGGCTGTGTCAGTGTGGTTGGCGTTAATTATATAAATCACAGCTTTGCCTTAAGAAGAAGAAGTAGCATGACTAAATTTCATGTCTGTCAGTACAATCTTGTTCATCCAGCGATGGTTTTTCAAAGTGTCAGATCCCAAATACCGTTTGATTATTCTTTTCTATAAACAAAAACCCACCGTTTATAAATTTGGCAAATATTTAAATAATCAACTTATATTCTTAAGTACGGGCCGTTAGTATTATTATATTTTAATGTCATCTAACGTAAATAATAACAATGTTTCAAACGACATCGGCAATATTAACGAGGGTTTTCGGCCGTTATTGGACGTTGGGCGCGCTTATGGTACAATAAGGTAAGCAAACATAATATATAACAAAATTATATTATGATTTATTTGTTTTGTTTTTCACTGATAATATAATATTATTGTCATTTGTGTAACATAGAAAACAAAATCAAAGCACACGACGGTTGTCGACGTCAACATCTTCAGCATTGGCTTTACTGGCGTTTCTATTTTTTTTGAATGTGTTACAGGTAAACAATACTAACCAATATATTATAATATTAATACAATTATTAACTAGTTATAAAATATTCATAACAGATTAACAGTGTATTTATTACTCAAATCCATTAATTTACATACAAGGCTTTGCTGTGTTTGTCCTGATAATTAAATTATTTTGAAAGTCTTTGTATCTTAAAGACAAATTGTATTCCTTTTTTGATACAATAATATTAATTACTGTAAATACTATAGATTTACAAAAAAATATTAATCAGTTAACATAATATTGCCCAGGACAAACATTGTAAAATATATGTATCTTTTAAATGTGGATAGTTAGTAATTTTCTTTTTTTGGGGGGTGCTTGGTGGGTTTATTTTAGAGATCACTGGATGATAACAAACAACAAGGACCGATGGTGATGACGCGCACAACAACAGGGCCAACAATGTTGCGCAGAGATTTTAACGAAAACAATAAATCACCAAGAGTGAAAAGTACTACTACTCTTGGTGGTAATAATGTTATGGTTACAAAATATGAAAATAATTTTAATTAATATACCTAATATAAATTTAAAAAAAAATTACAAATTGTTATAACAGGTATAATAATAATATAGCGCATTATGAATACTTACTCAAAATTGTTCTAAGGTGTTTAAATTTAATCCATTGTTCAGTTCCTTCATTTATTATTATTTTTTTTTTACAGTATTGTTAAATTAAAAATTAGTATATTAAATATTAACATTTTTTTTTTATTTATACATATTAATTGGATTTTCTAATAAAATATTTTAACAAGAGCAGTAAGTAAAAACAATAATTGTTTAAAATGTTTACTAAAAAAACAAAAAAAATATATATATATATATATATATATATATATAAACAAAATAATTGTTTTAAAAATGAAACATGTTAAAATATATTTTGATAATCAAATATATTTGGTTTGGGTCAGCTTGCTTTCACCTTGATCTCGACCTAACATACGATTCCAATCTGTCTGCCCAACAACAAAACCAATAGCACGCATTTTTTCTTGTTCACGTCGCTCTTCCATATCAGCCCAACGAACCTACACAAAATAAAAAAGTTTTTTAATAATGTATAATTTTCTTTTTGCTGATAAAAAATATGAAACATTTACATATAGAAATTCATATTTATATCAATACAAAATTATATAAAAATAATTCTTTAGAGGACAAATGAAATTAATATAGTTTTGTACACGTAGATGAACTGATCAGAAAAAACAAATAATGTAGAGCTATAGATGGTGAAAATGATTTTAAAATAAGTTTAAGGGCTATCAAAACATTAACGTTAATCGCAGAAATAATTTCTTACACATACAACAGATAATATATATAATATATAGTGTGAAGTAGACTAATAATAATGATATAAGATGTGTATAATTTGTTTTGATTTTTAATAGAAGTTAAAATATTGCAGTGTCATCACTTAATCTACAATTAAATAATTGGTTTTTATTTTTAGTTTAAATAAATAAATGATAATATTTACCCTCTTTTTTCCATCTTTGACAACTACTTCTTGTTCACAATCGGTATAATTATCTTCAGGTATTTGTAACCATTCTTTAATTGACCTTTCTGGTTTTTTCTTGCACAGGCCATCTAATCTCTCTGAAATAAATATAACATTCAAATGTTAATATTTAATTTCAAATAATTAAGAGAAACTAAAATTTCTAACATTGTTAATATCTGTAGAAAATTAAATAAAAATAGTTAATTTTTGTGTCAATAATAAAAAAAATGATCAACATAACTTACTCATCTTTTCTTCTTGTGGGATAGTATCAATCCATTTGCAAGACAATAATTTCATGATGTCCTGTAGAAATATTAGCAACCAAAAAATAGAATAATAGAAATGGTATCTTCTGGTTTTACGTTTTTTATAAGATGCTATGTTTTCAACAAAAATTATTAAAGATTATGTTATACAAATAAAAAAAAATAACACTAATTTAGAAACAACAGCATTATTTTGACAAAACTACTCAGCCACTGGATATTTACACAATTGTTTAAATATAATTATTCACACATTCCGAGTAATAATTTTGTTTCGTTTATCACGAGATCATTTCACACAAATATAATAGGTAACTGCAATATGGTTAATTAACTAGTTATATGAACCTTATAAAATCTAAACCTATTCAATCATTGAATATTTTATTTTTCCATTATTTTGTAGAAAGAAGGAGAAGAAGAATGTATATATATGTTATCTAACTTAAAATAACTTAAAAAAAAAAACCATTACCTCTTCTTCAAAATCAATACTTGTGTTTTCTTTCTGTTTGTTTTCATCATCAGCATTGTCATTTTCGTCTCTGTCCAAATCCATTTCGACGTCTGATACATCCTCCATTTCCATCTAATTTAATAATACATATTTAATTTAACATGTTTAAATATTAAATAATTTTTTTAATACTTCACTCTTTGAAGCTAAATTAAGTAATGATCGTATATCCAACAGTATTTGATTATCAGGAGTTTTAACCCAAGATTTCATTAAATATTTAATATCATTAGCTGTTCTATTATGAATATTGCGTTTGATACATAGATCAACATCAGCTTCTAATTCAATAATATACACCTAAAAATGTATATAATTAACATAAAATATGCAAAATCATTATTATTATTATTGTATTTAAATATCTTGATTTATGAAAAAAAAATAAATATATATTGGCTGTCCCACCAAAATATACCCTTTTAATATCTTCAGAGATGATAAAGATAATCAAATTTTTTTTTTTATATTACTCACAGGGATGAGGACTACAAATATTTTTTATTTGTATTCAATTTTTTTTTTAGTAAAAAACTTAAAAAATATATAACTATTTTTAATATTTTAGTAAAATTTTATAAATGCCATTCTGCAGAATTTATTTTGCTGAAAATTTTAATGTATCACACATTTATATCCGATGAATAGTTTTTAAGTAACAGCCATTTTAAATTCCCTAATCTGTGTGAAAACTAATGTTACTTATTTAAGGAATGACTTAACTGTGTTACGTGATAACTAGGGAATGGACTTTATTGCAAAATACATTTTTTAGTGGGTGGCACAGGGTAATGTGTGATAAATTAAAATTTTCAGAAAAATAAACGCTACAGAATGGCTATCTTAAAATTTTCCTAAAATAATAAAATATTTTAGTTCTCATCCCTGTGAGTAATATATAAAAAAAAAAAAACAGAATTTGATTATATTTGTTATCTCCGGAGATATTCAAGGGGTATATCTTCGTGAGACAGCCTATAAATAATTATACATACATGCTAAGTGATCCATTTAAGTGAATAAACTCATTATCTCGGAAAGTATTAATTATTTCAGGAATTTGTTTTATAGAACATTTAAGAAAATAAGCTGTTCTACCCTTATTTTTGGGGGGTAACTATTTTTGATTTGAAAATGGCAATCTATATTAAAAATTCCATAAATAGATGAAAAGATAATGTTAAAATAAATTTTTGTGTTGAAAGTTTTGATTTCCGTTTGAGGAGATATTCCACTTTTTAGTATTGGTTAAAGGAGGGTAGTGATTTCACCACTCCACTGTATTATACAGCATGCGGCGTGTTGATAATGGAGCAATTGTAGTACATTTTCTGAAAAGAAATTTTATCTGGGTGGTACTTTAGGGAAGTCATTTAATGATTTTTCAAGAGATTTTCATAATTACAAAAAAACGAAATAAAACGGGAATGTTTACAAAATTTATAAATTTAAATTTTCTTTTTGTTATTATTCAGTTAAAAAAATTAAATTTGCCTTATCTAGACGTGGTAAATTTTTTAAAACATTTTACCCATTTTCGAGCTATTTATAAACATTTTAATTTTGCGAGTTTTTTATGTCATTTTTCTCTGGTAGGTAGTCCTAATCTAACCTCCGTGGATAAAAATGTAAAATCAAACAGAAACGATTGAAAATTAAATAAGAGGTTCATAATAACAAAAAAAAAAAAAAAAAAATTAAATTTTTATAAAGACAATAAACTATTGCTTACGAAAAAACCATTCTGAGCAGAGTTTAGTTGTTTACAATATACTCGTATATATCATATTATGATAAAATGATTACATTTTCGTTTCCATGACAACAATGATTGTTTATAAAAGACTTAAAATAATAAAAACTTAATAACAAAAAATAAATAACCTAGCGGTTGAAAATGACAACCTTATTTGTAATCTTTCAATCTTTTTTAACCTAAAGAACCAGGTTTTCTTCATTATCTCAAATATTAATGAGAATTTTAAAAAATGATCTCTAAAAGTACCACCCAGAAAATATTTCCTTTCAGAAAAAGTGTTCACATAAAAAATAAAATAAAATAAACATCATTGTAAAACCAATACATTTCTCACTCCATTTAGAATCTAAAAAACTGAGTGTAATGTAGAATTCTTTTTATAAGAATTTTAATATCAAATTTCAACAAAAGTCAAAAACATTACGACCTTTATAAATATGTAAAACTAAACTCCGCTCAGAATTATTTTTGGTTAGCAATGATTAATAGTTGTGTACAGATAAACGTTAAATTCCTTTCTATATCCTACTTGCTCAAATTCTCACTTACAATAGTGGCCCACCTATCATGCAAAATATGTCAGTCTTTTTTTAATACTATAAACTATAAAGATACTACTTATCTTTACTAAATCACACATTACATTTTCCCCAAAACAAATCTAATAGTAATGTAAAATAATTATATTTTATATACGCATATATATATATCAAGATATTTAAACATACAATATAGCACAAAGACTCAATAACACTTACAGTAAATCCATTGATTCTAGAAATATCAAGTATATCTTTATAATATGTAACTTTATTATTTATAGCATCAATAATAAAAAATGAAAAAAAATTTTCGACCACTTTTTTCTTAAATGCTTTTATAAAGGATGTACGGTATAAACTTTCATTAGCAGAATCATATTCATATTCCATAACCTTAAACAATAAAGTACACAAAATAATGTTACGAAAAAAAAAAATAAATACATTTTTAGGGCAAAAGGACTTCAGACAATTTTTCCTCTGTAATTTTTTTTGGTTAAGTAGCATAAGTGTATATACTTTAAATTTAATTTGCTTGTATTTAAAACTGTATAAAATTAACCTATGTCCTTCTTCCTCGGTATCAAATATTTTATCTTTAAATTTTTTAATAGTATTACATTTATTTAAATAAAAATGCTAAGTAAAACAAAATATTATTTAATGATTATATAGACAAGACAATTTATATAATATTGTATGACATTATATGATTACATATTAAAGTGGTTCACTGTAAGAAATTTAGATTTATACAGTACTAAGTAATATTTCGATGAAGCTATGAACTGGGGAGCCAACATTTAACTCTGGCACTGTAAGGCCACAATTGTTTTGGATCATATCTATACAAGGACATTCAAGGACAACAGAATGCATTTTCGGGCAGATATATGAAGGTTTCAATCAATAGAATGATCTGAATATACTGGAGAAAATAAGTAAACTCTTCAGTATGGAGATTTCACAACCATGAAGAAACCATCAAGAGTAGGTAAAGTACAATAATAAAGTAGTGTTTCTTCTGGCATAGTATGAGGGAAGCAGTGCACAAATTCATGCAAGTGTACCATGTTGGCTGGTGCATAAACTGCTGAACAGGAAAGCTGAAGAATCAGAATATCAGATGCAGACTCAAGTACCCCATGACCTTGATAGTAGTGATGAGCAAGATCTATAAGTTTTTACTTTTAGACTGGTTTAAAACCAAACAATCGAATATTTAGATATTAACGCCTAGTCTAGTAGTTTTCAAACTTTTACGAATCCCAAATTTTTTTGTTTACATCTTTGATAATCTCTTCAAAAACTGTTTAACAGAATTTGAATAATATAATGTACAGTATACATCAGGGTTTCCCAACCGGTGTGCCGCGAAATGCCATGACTATTAATAAAAGTTTCCGTAAAATTTCAGTAATTGGTTAAAATAGTTTTAACGATTCTCTTATCGGGGAGAATCTTATCTTATTGTTCACTATTTCTTATTAATTCATTTAAAATGTTAAAATGTCAGTTAGTCGTTTGTCGTCGTATGAAGTACATTTATTATTACCGTGTTATACTTTAACGGAAATTTTTTCTTTTCGCTTTACGATTATCATTCGTACTACGTGTAGCGCACGATGGATCATTTTTTAATTAGGAAACGTAAATTAAGCGAAGAATTGCCTGATCCTAATAGTGCTCATAGAGTTGATGTTGAGGAATTGCCTGGTCCTAGTTTCAATCCTCCTAATGTTGAGGTGAGTGCGAGTAAAAATGCTAACGTACGATCAAAAAATTATATTCGACAATATCACGAAAGCTTTTTATCATTTGATTTCACGTCGAGTGGTGGAGAAATGCCTATACCTAGTATACCTCAATGCCTCATGTGTATTGAAAAATTATCTAATGAAAGTATTGTACCAAGTAAGCTGAAAAGGCACCTGCTTACAAAACATGGTTTTGCGTCTGAAAAGCCTCTAGATTTTTTCAAAAGGTTAGCCTCAGATCAAAACAGACAGGCTTTAAAGTTTATAAAACACTCAACTGTATCAGATAAGGCACAGGAAGCTAGCTATGCTGTCGTGGAACTGATAGCAAAAAAAATGAAATCTCACACAACAGCCGAGTCAACCATTTTACCAGCATGCTGTGAAATCTTTAAAATTTTGTTTGGTGANCGTGAATGAAAAACTGAAAGCAGCTGAATTGTTTGCCCTTCAATTAGATGAGTCTACAGATGTAACCGGAAAACCTCAGGTCATGACATTCGTAAAATTTATATGCGATAATGAGTTGATAGAACAATTTTTATTTTGTAAAGACCTTCCTGAAACTACAAAAGGACAAGATATTTTTAATTTGGTTAACAATTATTTTACCACTGCCAATATATCATGGAAATTTTGTTTGAGTGTTTGTACAGATGGGTGCCCTTCAATGATTGGTCATTTAACAGGTTTTTTGGCATTAGTTAAGAAAGAAAACCTGGATATTATTTTCACTCACTGCTTCATATATAGAGAAGCTCTCGTTGCTAAATCTTTGATGCCTGAGCTCAATGAAGTATTGCAAACTGTTGTCAAAATGGTAAACTTCATTAAAAGTAAACCTTTGAAATCAAGATTATTTAATCAATGTGTTCTGCTATGAATAGTGAGCATTCTCTTCAATGAATGCCATCAAAACTGAAGAACTTGGAAGACGACATGAGGGTGTGCTTATCAACCATTCGACCACGAAGGAACCTAATAATGAAGAGAAAACAGTCCCAAATTTCTCACTAAGATTAGGTTTTTTATAAAAATTGTAATGTATCTTGTTTTTCCATTTCAATAAATTAAATATTTAGGATAATTGTAATAATATTTTTTTCTATCCTACCATTTTAAAATGTTTGCTAGAAATATTATACTGATATACAACTATTTTGGTATTAATAATTAATATGATGAAAGTCTAGTATAAAAAAATTTGTATACATAAATAACTAAGTGACAAGTGTGCCGCGGCTAAATATGGGTTGGGATTAGTGTGCCGCGAGGGAAAAAGGTTGGGAAACGCTGGTATACATGATACCATAATTTTTCGCAACCCCTTAGTCGGTCATAACCCCCAGGTTGAAAATCACTGGTCTCATTGATAGTTTCAATAAGATACTTATAATTGTTATTGTATTTATTTATTGTTAAAATATATGAGAGTTTGTTTGGTTGCTATATTATGTTGGTGTGTGTATCTGGTGCCCTTATGATCCTTAATCCTATGCCCGCTAATCTAGGACAACTATAAACAAAGTAGAAACAACTTTCATTCATAGACGTGACACTTAAACAATAACCAAACAGTAGAATTAAGATTGATACATTTTGAGAACACAGCATAGAGGAAAATATGTGGATCTACTACTATAGATAAAGCAATGGGAAATCGGCAAACGAGATAGAAAAAAAATTAGTAAAATATTGGTAAAACCTACACCAGTAACAGACTTTGTTAAAGTATAAAGGACACTATAATTACATAATGACAAGGAAACATCAAAACAGTTAGGGTCGCAATGCAATGGAAACCCCAATCTTTCAAGTGATATAAAAATATGTATTGTAAAACCATTTTATCACAATATTACTGAGATAAAAATAAATTATTAAAATTAAAAATATTACATTATTTTGATTTAATTTTAACATGTATGTGTATTTGACCTAACAACCACATTTCATGTTTTAATTAGCCTGTAAGATAATGTAAGAAAATTAAATATTTTTTAGATATTAATGGGTTTAAACAAGAATAACAATATAAACAATATTACCTTTTTTTCCACTGTTTTATTGGTCTCAGGATTAATTTCAGTCTTAGTTATTTCTGTCATAAAATAATCATCTAATGATAATACTCTAGGAGCTTGTCCACCCATTGCTACTTCTTTCTCCTAATGAAATTTATTACAATGTAGATAACTCAATAAAATGTAATATTAATCAGTACTTGAATTGACAGATGCGAGAAGACTGAATACCTTTTTTTCTTAACTATTTCATATCTCATCTAGTTTGTTTAAATAATTCAAATAAGTCTACAGAAACATACACTTATTATACATACATATTTGTTACTTTTACCAATATTCATTCAAGCACTGATATAATATAATATACAAATGTATAATATTATACTAACTTTGATTAACTTCGCAACGTAGGATTTTCCTGAACCAGGTAATCCTCTCATTATTATAACTATTTTGGCCGGTCTATTAAGCCGACCAGGTGGACTTAGTAATGTATCAATAGATAACAATTTTCTAGCAGGTGATTTTTCGACTTCCATATTGTGCAACATTTTAGGTGGAGATGGCACATGGACATGGGAATTATTTGTTTTGTTGCCAGACTGTAGTAATTCTCTTTTTTCTAAATTATCAATAATCATCACATCCTCCTCTTCAACATCATCATCGTCAATAATAGTAATAGTGTCTACTGGAATAGATGTATCTTCTTTAAATTTGTCATCTTTAATTTCGAAAATAGTAGTTTCTTCAATCATTTTAGTTTCTTTGGCTTTATTTTTAAAATCAAAATCTTTAATGTCTGATGAATTATCTAAATATTATATAATAATTATATGCTTGATAATTTATTTATTCTCAACTTTAATTTAAAATAAACTACCTTGTGACCCAAATGATGTTGGCTTCTTAGTTGATGTTTCTTTATTTTTATCTTGATCATTAATGTTGTCTTAAAAAAAATTAAAAATATTATTATTATACATAATTTCAATTTAAAATTGAAAATAATATTATTAAATTTAATAGTCATTTACATTTTAAATATAATAAACTCATATATAAAATATAATACACATTGTATATAAATGTCATTTAGTTATAATTATTTACCTTCTTCATTTAAATCTCTTGGATGATTTGAATTTCTTCGACTAAAACCTGAAATTTGTGTATAAATTAACAAACCTAGATATATTATATGGTTATTCAAATGATTTATCCCATTTCAAATGGTGTCCTAACCTAAAAGAGTGGTTCTTGTGACCAGGCTACTCATTTAAATATTATTTTTTATTTTAAGTATATCAATTATCACTGTAACAAATGCACTAACTTGTATTCTGTTTAATATTTTTAATTTCTTTTTTATACAAAATATAATAGTTAATTAATACATTTATTTTAAAAAATTGCAGGCTTCTAAACCACTAGGCAACTTGGCTGACACAGCTAATGTGACATTTGGCGGTTAATTGTAGCTTGCACACTAGATAGCCATTAATTTGTGGGTGTAGCAGCAAACAGAACGTACACGAATGCACAGCAGCTAACTGGCTAATTATTACAAGTCACATATTGCATACTCAACCATTGCTTATCAGTGGCCATGGATGGCTGATGCAGCCAGACTGCCTAGTGAGTTAGAAGTCTAACTGTTACAAATGTTAACTAATGATGAGTCGTTTAGTTTTTTAAAAATTGTTGAAGTTTTCAAAGGTTAGGTTTTTCTAAACATTAAAAAAAAAAAAACTTAAAAATATTCAATAAAGAGGTATTACATTCTTTATAATAGCCCAGATCTAATTACCCAAAATAATTTTTCTACATTACATCTTTATTACCTTTACCTATTATTGTTATTGCATTGGTTCATAATTGGATTTTATTATAGTTATACATTAACATTAAATATGAAATTATTTGGTAGTTGAAATGGAAAAAATGTAACTCATTATCAATAAACATTTCTTAAATCAACAATTTTTTTAGTATAAATGTTTAAATTTATCTTAAGTGTTTTTTTAAAAAAAAAAAAATATTCTAGTCAGTTAATACAAAAAAGAAAAATCGTTAAACTATTGAACAGAATAAAAGTTTTTACAATCTTTGTGAAACAATCTGTACATATAATTAACCGAAAGCAAATTTATTATTTTGAATAAAACCATTTGTCATTTTAATTTAAGGGAATTAGTAACTGTATATTTTAATCAATTTAAACCTAAAACCCAGTCTAGAATCTAAAATATTGATAGAATTTATAAAAAATGTATTTGAAATAATTTGCCTTTTACTTATGAATTTATGACAGAGAATTTTTCTTCTTTGTAACAAGGTTGCTCTGTTTTACTACAGAAAATCATATTGGTGACTGCACAGAAGTAGTAGTAAATAATTTTCATTTCGAAAATCGAACGATTCGTTATAATTGTGGTAATATCATAAGGTGGTTATAAAATATGAACAAATTTGGAATATTGTCACCAATCTTTTTAATTTACAATAAATGTAATGACTTTTGTTCACTATAGTATTGTTATAAAAACAAATAATAATAATAATAATAATACAGAAGTGACATGCCTAGATTAAGGGTCTCCATCTTATGGCCAAACTAACTGACAATTTAAAAGTAAATTAGTTTTAAATTGAATTTTACGAAAAAAGTATATAATAGAAGGGTGTTTAATTTAGGTATTGTTCTCAAAAACTAATAATAGTGAAAAACCAAATCTAATTATCTATCTACGTTTTCCTAAGCAATTTTGGCCTATGATGTCAAAGTGCACATCAGATTTCTCCCATCTAGTTGTGGATCCCTGATCTAGGTTAAACTGAGCAAAATTGTGGTCCTGAGTAAAATATAGATCCTTAGTCAGTTTAAACAATTATAATTTTTTTTATCACAAGGGATATTGTTACTCATATTACAATAATTTTAAACAGCCCTACTGCGAATTAAAAATCTAATACAAACCTCTATCTTGCCATGGTAGTATACGTTTACCTCCATGTTTATAATCATAAACTCTAATTGGGATCACAGTTTCTTTTGATATTCCTAAATATAAATACTAAGTTATTATTAAATAATTAGAGTTTACAGTAATTATTTTTTCATAAAATTCAAATGTAATATTACCTGGAATTACTTTTAATGTGGGTAAATGACGATAATCAAATATTTTTACTGGATCAATTGGTGTGCAATCAATTGCTGGCTGTTGAACAAGAGGTGGAATTATGATATCTTTTACAGACTGTTGAGGTGCCTCATTTTGTGTATAGTCTTTATTATCCCATTCTATATTTGTCTTATTTAAATTATTACCAAAATTACTTCTAGACGGTTCATAATTTCTTCTTGGAGGAAGTCCATAGTTCCCTTTTGGTGAAATAAATTTGTTTTTATCAACAGTGGATTCATTAGAATACTCACCATTGACATCTCTTAAATTAGGCACTTCCCTGGAAAATCCTTGATCTATACTTTTAATATTATTTGTAGATTTATAATAATCACTGTCTTTCTTTTTTGGTGTTTGCAAATCGTGAGGGTAACTTTGGTTAACATTTCTAGAGAATTGAGAATTCGGTCTAGGGTATTCAATGTCCATATTCTTCGGTATTTGAGGTCCACTTGATTGATTCAAAGATCTAGGATAGTCATCATTGTAGTCTCTAGGCCCCTGATGTCCTCTAGAATAATTATCATTATCATAATATGAATTTCTATGCTGTTGGTTTGAAAATTGATCATCATATTGATCATCAAATGGTTCAGAACTAAATTTTTTATGTGCTTCCATGTATTCATTTTCCGGATCTTCTTCATCATCAGCAATATTCCAATTTCTTTCATACCTAATAATTTAGAAAAATACAAATAATCGCCAACTCATATTAAACATCTATTAAAAATTATTACCTATTTGGTAAATCGTTCTTATTTTCCAAGTAATTTCCAGGTTTATCTAAAACAATAAAAAGTAAATGTATATAATTATATTTAAAATGACGGATATTCTTCATACAATGAGAGGGTCACTGTTGTAGGTGAGAAGTTGGGAAGGTAGGATATTGAGGGGAATTTAATTTATATCTGTACGCAATAATTAATATTTGTTTACGAAAAACAATTCTGAGCGAAGTTTGGTTATAGATGTTTTAAAAGGCTGTAAAGTTTACAATTTAAAAATAATACATTTTGTATATTTTCCCGTATTTCCTATTTATTATGAAAACTCCTAGGAAAATCAAAAAATGATCTCCCTTAAAATTGTTGGTAGATAAGTTATTCACAGAAAAAAATACAAAAATAAAATAAACATCACTATAAAACCTATATATTCCTCGCTCCCATCAGAACCTAAAATATGAAATTAATGGAATTTAAAATGTCATGTTGTAGGTATGTTACTGGCAAAATTGACAATACATAATACGGTAACAAAATAATGATTGATAATATTAGGACAAGGCGTGTATTTGTATTAATACAGAATAGTAAATTAGTATAATACTATATTATTTGCACAAAGTAAACTCCATGTTCTTTAGTATTATATTGGGTAATTGCCCAAGAAACTACAAAAGTGATATTATTTTCTAAATTGTCAAAATTTCTGCTAACAGGTAAATAAAATCATAATAATATACCAAAAATAATACCAGTCGGTAAAATATATGAGAATAAATAATAATTTATTATAAATTCTGATGTTCAGAAATATAAAAAATAAATATTTTGTAAACAGTGTAATTTTAAATTCTTACCTAGTGTAATTGGTTTAACCACATTTAAACTCAACAAAGAAGGCGGTTTCGAATGTGTTAGATTCAATGGTTTTTGATGTTGATATGGAATGTTTTCCGGTGATCTGTTGAAATTATTATTATTGGAAATATTTGGTTGATAACCTCGAAAATTACTAGTTTGTGTATTAAAATTTCTATTATAAAGTTGGTCATCTGGACCCTTATTGTACATTGTACTACTACTTTCGTTTATCAGTTTATTAATATATGATCCTTCTAGTGGTCTTCTATAGTTCATATTATTAGTAGCATTTTGAGAACTATTGTAAGAAGTATTAGATATTTCTTCATCATATGGTGGTCGAGCATTAATATCATTTTGTTGACCAAATCTAGATGATGGTGCATCATTCACATCCACTGGATTTTTATCATAATAGGATACAGGATTGTTAAACTTTGACCAACTATAAGAATTCTGAAACATGGATGTAGTTGATTGGTGGATATTGTTAAGAGGCATACTAACTGGTTGTTGGTTTATAATTGCAGAGGTTGTATTGCTTTTGGGAAAATTAAATGGCTTGTCGTCAGGTGTTTGAATCGGTTCGGTTTGATTTTGTGGTATAATCTTTGAGACATTCAGAAATCCTTTGGTATTGCATTCAGTATTAGTAATTAGGTCCAAACCAGGTATATGATTTTTAGAAAGTGAGGATACCATGGAAGAATTATTATTTTGCTACAAAACAAAACAAAATAACGTGTATGCAAATTCATTTACATACAATTTTAATCATAATTGACGTGACTGTCAATCATAATAGGACATATGATTTTGTTTGCAAATATCTAATGCAATGGTTCTCAACGTTTTTATGTTTATAGCACATTTTTTTTATAACAATACATTTTGATTAAACATTATAATAATAAGGTACATAATACTATATGCATGTACGCGACATACTTATAGCCAGTTTGTGCAACACTAGTGTGTCGCGAAATATTGGTTGAGAATCACTGATCTAATAATTAGAGCTAAAAATCAAATTACATATTTGAATAAATATTATATAAAATATTGACATATTAATGAAATGTTAGATTTGTAAAAAAAAATTTAGACTAACAGGGCGATATTTACAAAATGTATAAGCACGTCTCTTAATTTATCTAGCCTTCAAATTGAAAGCGATTGATGAAAAAGCACTAAACTACATTTTAAATTCTGAGGAATGTATTGGTTTTACAATGTTTTTTTTTTTTATCTGTGAACAACTTTTATACCAGAAATTTTACTCGGATTTTTAATTATAGCATTTTTTTCAGGAAGGAAATCTGACTGAAATGGTAATGGACAGATAATTTTTTAATTTTCCTAGCTGTTTTCATAATAAATGGCAAAACCGGAAAAAAGAGGTACAACATTAAACAAATATTATTAAAGAAAATATATAATGCATATGTAATTATTTTACCATAATATGATATACATATTGTTGACAAAGCAACACTATCAACTAAATATTGCTCAGAATCGTTAGGTTAGATCAGAATCTTTTTTTGGTTGGCAATGGTTAATTGTAGCGTACAGATATATATTAAATTTCTCCTTTATCTTTCCAACTTCTCACTTACAACAGTGATCCATCCATCGTGAGTATTAGATATTGAATTAATGAATACTGTTAAAAATAAATTAGATTCAAAAGTTTTTATCCTACTTTATTTGTATATGCATCAATTATTTAACTTATCAAATATTTTAAGTTTCAATAAGAGCTGGATATGTAATTTAAAATATTAATTTTGTAGTAAGTGTAAAATTTACTTAACTTAAGTTTAAAGTAAAGAGCCGATACTAATGATAGAATTGCCTCTATTGTAGGATAGTATTATAGTATTATATATATACTGGCTCTTCTCTATGAAGATATACCCCTTAAATATCTCTGGATATAATTAAGATAATCAAATTTTGTTTTTTTTTTTATATATATATTACTCACAGGGAGGATTAGAAATATTGTTTTTGGAATTTTTTTTATAAAATAATTTTTTATTTAGAGTTTATTTTTCTGAATATTTTTATTAATGTATCACACATTTATATTAGATGAATAGTTTTTAAGGTAACAGCCATTTTAAATTCTAATAATCCGTGTGAAAATCAATGTTATCTAAGGAATAACCAAACCAATATATATATATAATAATATTATGCATACACAAAACTGCTCAATATTGGTTTATTTATTAAATTTAAAAACTTTTTTTTTATTTTTTAGAGCATTAAAGTCCATTCTCTAGAGACAACATTGGTTTTCACACGGATTAGTAGAATTTAAAATGGCTGTTACTTAAAAACTATTCATGCAATATAAATGCATTAAAATTTTTTAGAAAAATAAACTACAGAATGACTATCAAATGACTTAACATTTTCCTAAAATAGTTATTTTTTTTTAAAGTTTTTTACCAAAACAAATTTAATGCAAATATAAAATAATTATTCCTCATTTCTGTGAGTATATATATAAAAAAAAAAAAAAAAAAAAAAAAAAAATAGAATTTGATTATCTTTATTATCTCTGGAGATATTCAAGGGGTACATCTTCATCGAACAGCCAGAGTAATTTAATTTATATATGATTTATATATGTGCAGAACGATGAATCATTGTTAACACAAACCGATTCTCAATAAAGTTTAGTTAAACATGTTTAAAAATGATTTTCATTATGTTCATATAAATTTTAATTTTATGCCTTACCAAATTTGTGACTAGTTTTTTGATTTTTTAAAGTTCTATAAGAAAAATGTGCTTCAAACTTTTAAATATTTTTAAAAAGCTTTAATATTTTGTAATTATATAAAACCACATAAATTTCAAATGGCTACAAATAAGTAGATTTACAATTATTTTTAACTGAATGGCAACAAAATCAAAAATAAATGTTTCTGTTATTCACTATTGTGTAGATGTTTTCAAATATATCCAATTATTAAGAAAACCAAAGGAAAAAAAATATATGAACATATTTCGCACAATGGATTGGATGGGTTACTATTGTAGGTAAAAAGTTGGGAATGTAGAATATAAAGAGGAATTTAATGTATATGTATAAGCAAAAAAAAAAATTCTGACCTGACTTTGATTATACATATTTTGAAAAGCTGCAATTTTTACTATTTTATAATAAAACATTTCGTAAATATTTCTGTTTTTTCTATGTTGTTTCATGATTTTTTCCATTTATTATGAAAACCCCTGGGAAAATCAAAAAATGACTGCTCTGACATATCACTTCAGCCAAATTTGTTTTAAGAAAATGTATTACATATGAAGATCCATGCAAAAAATTAGTAGAAAAATTGTTCACAAGAAAAAAAAACACCATTGTAAAACCAATACATTTTGTGTTTTGCTCAGAATCTAAAGATGGCATCTCTAATGTACCAACTAGACAAAAAGGCTTTCTTGTTATTTTTCAATTAAAGAAAGATTTCTAGTAAAAAACTTGTTAACAGAAAAAAAACCACCATCATAAAACTAATAAATACTTAGAAACTATGGTAATTTTTTTTTAATAATTACCAAATGCTGAAAAGTGATTGGAGTAAGTTCATTTATTGATGAAGGAGTTTTTTGCATCAATGGATTATAACCTAATATTTGCTGAGATTGTAGTTTATTTTCTTCAATTTGAATAGTTTCCTTCTAAATAATAAAATCAAAAGAAATTAATAATTTAATGTAATGTTAACCATATAGTCAATTGGAATTACGTTTTAACAGAGAATAATCAAAATAGATTATTGATTTAAAATTCACCTTTTTTTCAGCCATTTTGAGCTCTCTCTTTTTTTTTAACATTTCACATTTTTGTTTTAAATGATCACGCCAGGTTAACCATTTTTTCTCATACTCTAAATACTGAACCTAATATAAAACAGATTATATTATTATTATTAATTAGTATGTGTATTGATAAACAAATTTATACAAATTATAAAATTGGAAAAATATACTTTATCTGGATGATTTTTATTTTGTTCTTTCCATTTAACAAATTGTTCTTCCCATGATATAAACTGTTCTTCGAATAAAGCTTCAGTTTCATCAGTTAATTCAATTTCATTTTTTTTAGTAGCTGTATCGGTTTTCAATTTTTTTTCATTATTCTCGAATTCAGGTTCTAATCCTCGTTTCATACCAACTTCATTTTTTATGGTAGTCTAATGATAAAAATGTATATTATTTATTTTGTGAACAATAATATTATAAGTACTTGTGTAATAATTTATTAATTATGTACTATTGCTTTGAAATATATGTATATTCTATAGTGATTTTTTTATCATGAACCATGGAAGATTTTTTAAGTAAACTTGATTTTTGTTTTTTCTAATCATTATGGAATGACTTTACCCCTACTCATACCCTACTAATAAGTGCAGACTTTTGATTTTCAAATAAAAACCTCTCTTTTAAACACAGATTTGAATAGAGAATATTTTTCTAGAAATGTTGATGTACATAATTCTTATATCAGATTTACCTTTATGAGTTATAACAATAAATCTGATATTAGTGTTATGTATATCAATATTTCTAGAAAAATATTCTCTATTCAAATCTGTGTTCAAGAGGGAGGGTTCCTATTTGAAAATCAAAAAGTGTGTACGTATTTAAGGTATATGGAGTAGGGGTAAAAATAAAAAACAGTTTTAAAACAAAACTTGAACGATTCTATAGTGATTAGGAAAAAACAGAAAACAGAAAGTTGATTTACTTAAAATACTCAGAGATAATTGCTGGTTTATGACAAAAAAAATCAACTTATATATTAATAAAATGAAGTGGCTGTCTATTTATTTGTGCATAATCTACAGCTGAAACAATTGAATCTAGAGGTCTAAAAATGTACATATAGAACCAAATAAATGGGTCCCTGTGCACCTCTAAGCCAGATTTCTGAAATTCAACATCAAAGGGTGTCTGGCATAGGATTTCAGCGACATAAATGAAAAAAATGTATTTATTGTTGATAAAATATAAGTATGTTTTATTATAATATTGTATAATGTATATTGTACAAGTAAAAAAAAAGGGTGTCCTAATGAGATGAATGTATCTGGTTTTTTGCTAGGAGAAAACCAAATATCCATATTTTTTTTAATAGCATGAACTTTGCAGTCTTAACGGTTTCATAGCTGCATTTATAAAAACTTTTGGCAAATAAGGCACATAACTAATGTAATATTTGTAGGCGATTGATATTGAATGAAACCATACTTCAAATATTCAATATTATAATGCCTACATTTTTTTTTCGTTTTAGCTATAACGTATACAATTAAATATGAAAAAGACATCCAAGGATAATGAGGAAGGGTGCAGCCACGGTTATAAGTAATATAATGTATACCTATAAACAATGTTAAACCATTGCTTACGAAAAAGCGATTATAAGCGGAGTTCAGTTGATAGTGATGCTTTGTCAACAATATACATGCTATATTATAATAAAATAATAGAATAGGCTCTATATATTTTCTTTAATAATATTTTTTCAATGTTGTACTGATTTCTCTGGTTTTCATAGCTTTTCACATTTGCTGAGAAAACTCCAGGGAAAATCGAAAAAACAACCTTTGAAAGTATATCCCTAGTGAAATTTCCTCTTAGAAAAATTGCTACCTTAATAAAAGTTGGAACAAAATTACTGGTAGAAAAGTTGTCCACAGAAAAAAAATATATATATTTTTGAAAAAAAACATAAGCTTCTTTGCTCTGCTTAGAATCTAAAATTGGTACCTACTTACATTGTGAAAAATTGAAATTCATGTATGCTATAGTCCTAAACTGTACTTAAATTTACTATAGGCTATGGTCATCATTAGATCAAGGAAATATTATAATGTATTATCTGTTTTCAACTATTTTAAGTTTGACTATTGAATTTTCTTATTTAAGTTGTTTTATATATTTATTAAATTCTTAACTTGCTTAATTTAACTGCTAATTATAATAATTTTTTTTTTTTTTTAAATATTATTACTTGTGACAGATCATTAGTTAGTGGCAAAGGTGGTCTGGATTGATTGTATTGGTTGATTGGTTGATATTGCTGGTTTTGATATGGCATTATAGGAGTTTGTATTGGTTGCATTGGTTGACTAGGAGGCATTGGAGGTGCCGGTTGTATAGGTGTAGCAGTAATTTGCCCAGTCTAATAAAATGTATAAATACAATTAAAATGTATTAATTGAAACAATTTGTAATGTAATCAGAAAATTATACGTTCCCTTTTCACACAACTCAACTTAACTTCAAATGCTTATAAAAATATTCTAGAAAATTTTCAGAAAAATAATTTACTTTAATTTAACAAGTCTGGGAAAGATCACTTCTTGAGCATGCCCGTTTCTAGATAATGATAATTTTTTTGAAATAACTAATTTATTTATCTAATAATTAAATTAAAAGTTAATTTTAATTCATATTTTTTTAAACGATGCTTATGAATTATTAGTAGTACAAGTGATCAATGTTGAAAACAATTCAATATTTCATATTTTTTAGACATATAATTTAAATAAACCTGTTGTTGCCATTGTTGAAATTGTTGTTGCCATGCTTCCCATTGCTTCCATTCTTGCCATTTTTGAACCAACTAAAATAAATAAATACATTTTTTAAAATTGATACACTATACCTATTATTATAAAATATTATATTCTGTTAAACTTACAGCTGGATCGATAGCATTTGGTTGAAGTGACTGGTTCATCTAAAATAGATAGTTACTTTATAATAAATAAGGAAATTATTAATTAAATATATTGGTAAGTATTGAACTTTTAACTAAACAATAATATTTTTGAAATGTTACACATTAAATACTACACTTTTAATGTGGATTTTTCATTTTAGCGTGTTTAGATTATTTAAAATATAAGCATAAAAAAACTGCCATAAAAATATATAACAATTTATCTGTGTACAGGTTGTCCTAAGATACACTCCCTTTGAATATCTCCGAGGATAATCAAATTATGTTTTTTTTTTTTTTTATATTATTCATAAGGAAGAGGATTAAAAATATTGTACAAATATTTATATTTGAATTACATTTTTTTTTTTATTGAAAATTAACTTCAATTAGGTATTAAAAATAGATAATAATTCTAACAAACAAGTTTAAGTCTTAATTATTCAAGTTAAAAGATAATTCAATATTAATTTACTCTATTCAGGTTAATACTGAACGGCTTAGATAAAAAAAAACTTTACTTCCAAACTAATCCCCTTCCATCCTTGCTCCTTGTAAGTACAAAGTCAACAGCAAAGACAACAGAATGCAATTAGAGAGTCTAGACTTGTTCAACAGCTGAGTTTACATTTACAAAAGCAGTTAAATCTTATTCTGAATAATTTTTTTTTTCTGCTTCACCTTCACCCTAACTAATTAGGGTCAGCCACCGCTATCTTAAACTTCCATTAGACAAGATCCCCCATACATCATTCTCAATCACATCTATTTATTTTTTTTTTTGTCTTTCTCATACATTATGGAAATCCTTGGACAGTTTTTTTCTAATCTCGATTAATCGATAAACTTTTTTTTCACCTTTCTTTGTTCCTAGTATTTTTTAACTTCGGTTTGCTTGCCACCTTCTTAACTTTCTTGTAGTCTTTTGTACTCTACCTAATCATCTCTGTTCCTATTCTGCTTCCATAACTTAAATTGTTTTTTCTTACTAACTAAACAGAATATAGATGAATAATTATTTAGTTAAATTAATTTTTTTAATGAATTTGAATAAGTCATGAATACTTTAAAATTCAAAAATATCCAAATTAAAACGTTTAACATGGATTTAATTATGTAAGCAGTTTTTCACATTTTTTTGTACTAGACTATTAGACTATTAGAGTTAACAATAATTGTATACAAAGTGTCTTTTTCTTTCAGAAAAAACAATTTTGTATAAAGATTTTTCATTTGTCTAAAAATGTAACTTATACTAATGTTTATCTTACAGAAATTACTTACGACTGATGTTGCATTCAATGATAAACTATTTTGTGGGTTCATCTGAAAAATATAGGGAAGTAATAAAATATTTGTCTATAAAATATGCTGTATGGTCCTATTAAAACATCTCCATATCTACTCAAGTAAACAACTTTCTTGGATAGTAATTTAATTATTGATTTAAATGTGTATTAAACATATTTAAATTAACTACATCATGTAATTAATTCAAATTATAAATATTAGTAATAATCTAATATACAATGCTTTTATTTTCAATATATGATAACAGAAATATATTGCATAAACAAATATACGGATGATAGTATTTATTTCTTAATTTAATGCTATATAAACTTACAACAATATTTTGTAAGGCATTTGGCGTAACATAATATGGATAGGTAGTTGGAGTATTGTTTTTGTAAACAACCGATTTGGTCACCACAGGAGGTGGAACTGGAGTAACCCACGGGTTCGGAAACATTGTTGCACTAAACAAAAATTATGATATGTTACACGACTTATTGGTTTTTAATTATGTTTAATATGATTACTTACATTTAAAATATTTAGTTTGTAGTCTGCATATGGATTATTTTTTTATATGTTGAACACATAAATAAATATGCACTTAAACATATTCAGCGGGACAGTTAATAGTTCATACGTACAGTCTATCATTTATTTATACTTAGGCGAAATTAGAAAACCGCGTAGTTTGTTTAGACAAAACCGAGATAGATCAACGCAAATCGAAGATGAATGTTTGGTGTTTATATTGAAGTCTTCTTAATTCCGAGTTGTTATAACCAGTCACTGGGACCGGGTTGTTGGTTTCTGGTAGATAAACAGTAAACACGATAAATAGATAAGAATATACCAAAGTGATTAAATAACGTACATTTTTGACGATAAACCAAACAAAATAAGAAAAATACTTGGCTATACTACAGATATAAAAGAACACAGTGCTTATTGTCTATACTGACAATGTATTTTACTATTTCAGACTTCAGTCATAAAAACAAATTTGTACTGTAGTATAAAACCGTTACATGGTCCAGTGCAATGTCCTCCATTATCTCTAATATCTTTATATTAATATGATCATAGAAAAAGTACTTTATTGCTTAGCTGTTTATTTACTTATTTTTGAGTATTTATATCATTAAGGCCATCATTGTCAAAACATTCAATGCTATGTATCATTATATTGATTTGTATGCTGCACGATTTAAGATAGATTTTTATCTTAAATTGTGGTTGTCACCCATTACCCAATGGCAACCTATGAATAGTAGGCACTAAGCAAACTACCCGCTCGTTTTTATTAAAATAAAATTGTATCTATTTTTTTTATATTCGTGTAAATACTGATAAAAGTAAAAGGTTCTTCTCGTGTACGGACTAAGTTTCGTATTTAAATACTTGTTATAGCCCATTTCTACTCCATTGTATTACTAAAAAGTAAATTGCTATTGCGTAAAGCCCCTCTGATGCATTTATTGCGTCTTCGAGTATACATGTTACTGAATTTAAAGAGCATATTAGTATGTTCTGTTGGTAATTTGAAAATAAATCGTCAAAACATCTTTACTGTCAATAATAAAAATATTTAAAATAGGTGACAGACATATTTTAATTTTATTTGTATATGTAAATTATCGTCTAATCATTGTCATACGTATATTAATTTAATTTATAGATTACAAACGAAACAAAAATTATAGAAAAATAATTTGTTGAATATAATTATCTACTCTTAAGGGAAGGCCGCAAACTATAATTTTAGTTTCCAAATATCCCTATGTCATAAGCTATCTATATTCAATGTACTTTAAAATCAATTGTTTAGGGCAATAAATTGGGGAACTGGGAAAATACATAAGATTTTTTATTGATTATAAATACTATTTACTAGTATATTTATAATCCATGGATTTTTTTATAGCTGTATCCAGTAATATACGTAAACGAACTACTGACTAATACATTATATTTTTATTTTTTTTGACAGCTGTGTGCATATTATACACTCAAACCATTGATGATACTATATTCAATATTTTTTTTACGTATATAATTTTGACAGTACAGTTGTTTTGGGAATTTTTTTTCTAAGATTCGTTGTTAGTTACTACATTTGCATTCTGTAGATCCTGTATTAAACCTTCAATTGTATAGATATTGTAAATTGATATTTAAAAGTACCAGGTCATCAGATGTTGTTTATATCCAATGTATGCAAAGTAAAAAATGAGGAAACGGTTATCGATCAACAAGTAATAAATATTGAAGAATACAAATTATCGTCTCCGCATGATTTGTTTTAAATTCCTTTCATATTTTTTCAAATAATAATTATTACTTTTATAGCTTTATCGTTTATCTTATTCTTATTAGTAGCATAGTGAGACTAATCTACAATCCTAATTTGGTGCAATTTCAAACAGATATTTGTAAAACTCAATAGATAATTTCACTATTAACCATTGATAATGACTCAACAGGGAATTTAAATAAAATTGTAACCATAAATTTAAAACATTCCTAAGGGATTTTGTAGGTTCTGCTAAATTAAAAATATACATAGGTACATTGAATTTGTAACTTTTTTAGTAGAATATGTACAAACATACAATCATTGATTAAACTAAATAAGTTTTATGCACCTAGTCATTGTTTTAGAATCTAATTATTTATGAAGTAGGTATGTTGAATTAAATTTCAATCACTATGACTGGATGGAACTTCTTGAGATGTTTACAGTACAAAAAAATGTAAGAACATTTTTACATACATTTGCTTTTACAGATATTGTTATTACATACACATTTACAATGGAGATAAAAACTTTGTTATAAAATTTTTGATTACATGCCAGGAATCTGTAGCATAAATGTACAGAATAAGTGAAAAAGGGTTTAAAAACATAATACAAATTTAATATTTTAATACTGCATTATTTTTTTTTTTAGACATTGTTGTTTATTACCTTATTAAGTTTACACAATCAACATTACAGTACTTTGTAATGTTATTCAGACAATTCATTCAGTGGGTATGCTAAAACATAATTAAAACAAATTTAAGTTCAAATAAAATTATATTTCAGTATTCTCATTATTATTTTTTACTTATAGATTGAAAATAATAAAATATAAGTTCATGAGAAGTGAAATAAATAAAAACACCTAAGTGTTGTTATTAGGTTAATTTGAAGAACTAAACAGCATGTAACTGCATAGTAAAACGGATGTTAATGTTATAAAATGTTGTAAATTAATAAAATTCTAATCATAAGTATTAAAAATATATATCACTTGTTTCAAGGGGCGATTTTTGTTAAGATGTACATAAAAATAATGATGAAAATGATAATGATAATGAATACAGTATTATCGCCAATGTATTTCAGTATTACAAGTTTAAGTTTTAAGTTTTCTGAATCGCAAAATAAAAGTACAAACAAAATATTATTAGTCTAAATAAGTTACTTAATTTGAATTTTTTTTCTTTCGAAAATGAAAAACGTATATATCTAATAGTGCACGTTCAATAAAAATGCATATTAATAACTATTTTTTTCGTTTGTTTTTAGTGCGTTGCCGAGGAATGTCAGTTGTGGTTCCAAATTCACCATTGGTTGCAGATCCCGGCATCGGATGTTGATAAAATGAACTTAAAAATTCATCTAAATGTGGTTGATTAAAACTGCGTACAAAATACAATTTAAGATAATGATAAAAACAATTTTGCTATTATATTGTACATTTAAGCCCATGAATAACCCATATTTATCAATTCATGGAAAATTTAATAAATTATTTATAACTAGCGCCCGGAACTTTATGTATTTGCATATTATTTCTTATAAAGCTGCATATTAAAAATCTGATACAAATTAATTTTATAATACAGACAATCATAATACAAATTTTTTAATAATTTTATGCATATTTGTTTATATGAAGATTTTAAATATATCAATGGATATTATGTTAAATATTTATAAATACATTTTTAATAATTTAAAAATAAAGAGCTGCTGCACACTATCTTGTCTTTATTTTGAATAGCGCTATACCGAGTATTGATTGTAAACTAGTTATGAAAACAAAATTATTGGATATCTTAAGTAATTTTCATAATTGGAAAAAACCAAAAAAAATAAAATTGTTTAATATTCATTGATTAATAACCCAATTCTTCTCCTAGATTAATATTTAATTAATAGGAAACAACAATTGAGAATATCAAACACACCAAGTGATGTAATTATCAATACCAGTGGAATTCCCCTAGGAACAATTTTATCACCCATTCTATATTTAATATACGTAGCTTCTTCAGCAAACCTAAACCTATATCGAAAACTTTTTTCTTATGCAGGCGATACGGCAATCCTTATAACTGGTACCAATTGGGAAGAAGTCTATCATAAGGCCAAAACAGATATGCGCTTAATAAATACATGACTTTTAAAACATAATCTTCGAATAAATTATATTAAATCAAACTTTATAGCTTATACGTAAGATAACAAATTCAACCAACTTTTAATGAAATCAAAATTCACAACTTAAATTGTAAAATAAATAATTGTTCATGCAATATTATAATTAAAAAGAATATACAAAATATCTAGGAATAATTCTCATCATTACTTACATCATACAGATCAGCACTTAAAATGGGACTTACACATGCATACTATAACCATTAAATTATAAAAACTACACTACCTTTATATCAATGTAAGAAAAACACTGAACATACAAACACTACGCATGATCTATTTTGCTATAGCCTAGTCAATTCTCAAATATGGTATAAGCATAAGTATGGCATGGGGTAACTTAGGTACTGTTGCAATCAACAAGATACTGAGAGCTCAAAAAAGCATAATAAAATTAATATTAAACAAACTTACAACACATATTTCTATACAATTATTCGAGGAATTTAATGTTTTCTTTATACAAAAATTATTTCAAAAAATGCACTTTATTTCACACATAAATTTAATTTAATTTAATTAAAACCAGTATACTATAATACACGACAAGAAAATAATTTAGAGATACCTATTATTCAAACCCTCAAATCAAGTCTATGTTTTTCATAGATAGGTATTAAACTATTAAACAAACCCCCATCTCATATCATAAATTGTAAATCATACACACAATATAAGAAGTGTGTTAAATTATGGCTAAACCACATCCTTAACATTTAAAAATGTTTAAGATGTTATCCTAGTTAAATTGTTTTGTTTCTTTCTTAATTTATAATACCATTTTATCTAAAATTATTTTCATATCTTTATATTTTATTTTGACTTTTATATCTATGTTCATATCATCTTTATTATTAGAATTCCAATTTCAACAATAGAGGTTATCCTCAATGGTGAGTTGGGCCATTAGACTCGATATCATTATTAATTATTTCAATTTTTGCAACTAATGTTTTTTACCAGTAATATTGCTTCAATCAAAAAATTAAGAGACTTTTTGTTGAATATTTAACCTAGTTAGTGATCAAGATTTGTTGTTTTTTGATTTTCTTTGTAGTTTTATTAATAATTGAGTAAAATTAAAAACTACATAGAAAAAAAAGGCATAAAAATAATTATTTTACTATCTTAATTTTTTTTTTTAATGTAATTCAAATTGTAAATATTATGACCTTTTAAAATGGTTTATCATTGGATATAGGTATAAATTAAATAACTATGTATCCCATCTATCCAACTACAAGAGTGACTGGGACCTGTCGACAATATTAGCTCTTTTTTGTTTGTTTTTGAAGATTTATTCATGAATCAGTAAATATTTTTTCATTCTTGATATTAATGTATTTTTGAAGTTTAATCCTATAAAAATTCATATTTTATGAAAAAACTATAATTGCATATTACACTGCACATTTAAGCTTTTTTTAGTGCATATATATGCACATACTATATTGATTTTTTGTTGTGTATAGTTCCGAGTCCTAATTATAACTATCATAAAGGAATATTGATTTTTTGATTTTGTTATACTTATTTGATAGGGGAATTTGACAAATTCTACCGGATAGAGATTTCTCTAAATTGTGCTTATTATTATTTTCAAAAAAAGAAGTTACTATACATATTTTGTTTTTTATACAATAATGTAAAACAGTGGCGGTTTTGGCAATGAAGCATTACCTCACCAGTCATTTTCTTAAAATTATTATTTTTATTTTGTGTATAATTTAAAATTTGAATACTTTCAAGTATTTAATTTAGGTTTCAAAAAAAAAAAAATTAAACATTCAATTTTTTTTCATGCAAGTTACACGAGATACGTTTTGTTTGATAAACTCCAATATATAGTAAGAATACCTATTAACGTAGGTAACCTACTCGTATTACCTATACGTTTCATTTCAATATTTCACCACTGGTAATGGTTCAATAGAGGAGAGACATGCGAAAACGCGTAAAATAATGTACATGTGCAGAGCGTTCCAAGAGGCACCAGTGATGTCCACACCAATCGCCTCTAAGATGCCGGATACAGTATCTATCGTGGTCATAAACTTTTAAGTATACAAATATCGTTCTTAAAATCATATCTCTGCATTTTTTTTTTTTATTACTCAACTAATTATCGTTACTCGGTTCTTTGATTGTACGTAGAGACCTATAGTTTATTAATTTATATAATTATTTTAAAAGTTGATAGGTATTTTTGTTCTTTTTTTTAGTATAAATGTATAATAACTATGAATTCCAATCCGTTAAGTCGTTAAGTGACCATGTTTTTCAGTTGTTAGAAACACCATTTCAGTGATGAATAAATTATAATAAAGATTGAAAAGTTATTATTTTATCAAAACATTTATTTTGGATTATTTTCCCTGTATTTTGTTAAATATATTTGAATATTAAACTAAATTAAAACTAAAAAATAGCGGTCTTATAATGATTTGTCGATTTTCTTTTTAATAATTTAATTTTTTAACTTCAATAAAACTAGATTTAAGAGAATTTAGAATAAAGACAATTTATTATAAAAAAATCCTTAGTCAAGTTTCTTGGAGTCAAAACTATCCATTTTTTGTTTTTTGTTTCAGTTTAAAATATTTAAAAATAAAATATTTTTGGTTAGGTTAATTAATATTTAAATAAGTAACTTAGTAAATACATACATAAGTTATGCAACAAACATTCTAGCGTTTGGTATAGTAAAAAATCTAACAATGTTTGATAATATTATTTAAAAAAAAATCATCGCCTACAAAAAATTTTTATTAGATTATTAACATTTTTTTTTTTTAAAACTAAAATCTATAATTATCTGAAAATCACTCTTTAGTAGTTATGAAAAACATGAATTAGGTTGACTGTAAGTATATCTGTTATTACTTGCTATATAGTTATATTTAATATTTTATGGCTTCATGCAAAATATGTACCAAAACCACCACTGATGTAAAATTACATTTTGCAGATCAAATTAAAAAATACACAAGGTATAAAGCATAAAATCAAATAATCCATACTTAAATGAGCATATTTTGATATAAATTATGTGTTTGAATACATACTCGAATAGGGGTGTTGAAGGAGGTGCTTGTGTTCTGGACTGCGTGGGTGGTGATGGGGAAACAGTTGGTTCGGGAGTTTGTTGCTTGCTTCCAAATATTATTCTATATTGCACAGAGTGAGTGTCGGCCCGCATGTGTTTTAAACTGCCGTGTTGACACGTAGCCCATTCTGTGATGTCGTATACTCCACCATCCATACAACCAAAGTATTTCCAGCGTAAACCAAACATACTGCTTTCTGACCAAATATCACCGTCACGAGCAGAATGATGTACATTACATAGCGCACAGAAACGTGCGGCATACATTGGACGAAACGGTACCAATTTTCTTCTATGTCGTTTATTACAACTAGTACACCTGGAAAAAATGCATTTCATCAATTAATTTACTGCTAAAACAATTAGTTCTAAAAAAATGTATACATTTTAGGAGGGGGTTACAGAGTAACATTTGCCATCTCTATCTAATGAGTAATATATAAGAAAAATGTGTTTTCCTACTTTCAATAGTACCCAGGACTTAAAATAAAAATTATTATACTAAATTAAAGACAAAAACATTTACTATGGTTTTTGATATCTATTTTCTTGATAATATATTTGTATTTCAAACTTTTTTTTTATCTCAATAGAAAATTGTATAATAAATAAAAAAGGAAGTTTTAGTCTTTAATTTGATGTAATTATTTTTGTTTTATAACTATTAGGATAGCTTTTAGGTATCACTAGAAGTGCAAAAACCAAGTTTTACTATATTGTCTGTTTGATAGGCAAAGATGGCAAATGTTTTCTGACTCTTTTAAGTGTTATATTTTGTGTTAATCAAGTGTGAAATTATACAATATAAAATTTAGTTGTACTTAATAAGATTACCTAAATTATTAGGTAAATGCATAATACATTTTGTAAAACAATGTATTCTTACAATATTACAAGTCAACCTGATACCTACTACTCAAAATATTTTTCAATTACGATTATTGTACCTGATTGTATTTGCAACTTGTGCCATTTTTTCATGTAGATTTTTCAACAACTTGTTAAGTTCATCATAATTTTCTTTAATGTGTTCTATGCCACTATCGTAAAGTTTACGTTTTTCCTAAAACCATAGATTATTATAAATATTAATGAATTAATAAAATAAAATGTGTACATTTAAATTGTTTTTTCGATAATATTAAAATAGAAAAACCCACTGGATCGCCAATCATGTTGAAAGCATGAATTAATATTTTAAAAGCTTCTTCAGCCCCCGACTGATTGTTTTTGTCCGGATGAACAAGTACGGCTTGCCTCTTATAATACTTTTTGATATCATCTTCAGACGAATCAACAGTTACACCCAAAATACTAAAAATTACATTGCACTAGTTAAGTTTTGTAATATTAATGTTTTATTTGCAATAAACATGTTGGTTGGCTGACAATACTAATTATAATAGACATCATAAGAGTACTACAACAATGTGATCATTTCCGAATTAAAATATATTGTGATAATATTGTTAATTACTCCATATGCATGACTAAAACAATATTTTAAATATGTATTTAAAAATCATTATTTTAGTATCTTTGTAAATACTTATAAAAATGCATGTACTGAAATATTGAAATAATGATTGATTATGACCTTACTTTTGAATAACAGATGAACAAATGATCGATTTTATACAATAAATGCACAGGCAACAAATTAATGAATATGAGATAATCTACTTTCAGATTATTCAGACAAAATTACCTGTATGGATCTTTCCCTTTGCAAGCAAGTAGCCTTTTAAGAGCTTCTTCGCCAGTAGTTGGCAGTGGAATATTTGTTTGAAGAGTGCTACCTGAATGTTGCTCTTTCCACCTAACACGAGCCCAGTGCGATGCACGAGCAAATGGAGACCTCAGTCCACCCAAAAAATCTGTCCAACAATTTTTACCGAAATCAGCCAGTTGTGCCATACCAGATGCTGATCTATATAATATAAATATGGTTTATAAATGAAATAGTAACTATTTTTAAAAATTATAAAAATAAACTTACAAGTGTAACAACAAATGAAAGCTCATGGTGATGACGTCCCATAAAAGATGAACAAACCAAAAAACCATTATTGGAGCATATTGAATAAACTGAGCTTTCAAAAAGTTAAAATGTTTTGTTACTGAAAATAACAACAGTTTATTTTAAATTCACAGATTTATGTTTCTTAAATAAACACAGTTTAAAATTTAACACATACACATTGTGTTTAAAGCAGAGCTACGTGGTCGTTTTTTTGTCACTCGTTGATATCTTGCTTTGAATGGTAATGCTGTGAACGTAGCAGTACTACGTGAACCCTGATTTTTACTAGTAGGTGCAGCCTGTTGTGACTGGGGTACATTTGAAGACATTTTGACAGAAGGTTTTTCAACTTCATCAGACAACTTTGTTGTACTAATATCTAGATGCAAATAATTTTGTACTTCAAAATACAATTTCATTTAAATTTAAATAATAACATACTATTTGATTCATTATGCTTTTTATGGTCATTATTTAACTTCTCTTTTTTAACAGCACCAATAGCACAACTCGATTGAATATTTTTTTTAGTCTTGTGTTTTTCAGCATCGTCCTTATGAGACTTTAAAGTATAACCTTAAATAATAAAAATAAAAAAAATCAATTTTATCAGATTCATTAAAAGAAAATTAAAAAACAAACTGTAATTTTACCTGAGGTTTTTAACAATGGAACAGTCTTAGATTTAGTTTTTGCTTTATCTTTCTTATTGTTTTCTTTAGACTTTGGTGCCAAAATATTACTAAAAGCGTTTTCATCAGCTTCGTAATATTCTGATCCGTTCAAGTCTTCTGACGATGTCCAAACTTTTTCATTATTACTATTATTATTATTAAATGTAGCTTCAAACTTTTTTTCATCTTCTTTAAATTCTACTGTGGGAGTATTACGCTCTTCACTGCTTGCAGAAGAATTTTGTCTTTTCAAACCAGATTCTCCTTTACCCAACTTTGCAGAGTTTTTCTTTTTTTTGATAGATGTTTTTACTTTAGAGGTTGTTTTTAAATCTAATAATGTTTCGACTTGAGTACTAGCTGCAGTTTTTTTCACGGCACCAACAGCTGGTGATTTAGCCAAAACATCAGAATAACTGGGTCGCATCGGACGTACTTCCGCTACCATTCTAACTTTTTTAACAGGTGTAGCAATATTCGTGTGATTGGTCATCGTGTTATGATTGTGAATGTTAATATCTCGTTCAGGAATCATTTCTCTCGAAGTTTGAAACGCCTGATCTCCAAATGGACTGAACACACCACCATTATTTTGAGTTTGACTCCAACTTTGAACAAGATTTTCAATGAGAGCATCATTACAAGGCGGATCAAAAAGACCGTATGTAGCACTCTGGTATTGCATGGGATGAGAATTATATTGCGATTGTTGGTAATACGTATAGTTAATTTGTTGTTGTTGTTGTTGTTGTTGCTGAGATGTTTGTTGATGTTGTTGCTGCTGCTGCTGTTGATGATGGGGATGAGGATGATGAGAATACACTTGATGGTCGTAGTTGACATACCCTGGCATTTGATTCTGAGTTTGCATATATGGAGAATATTGATTAGGGTTTAAAATATAAGGATTGTTATTGGTCAAATTCATTGATTCTGGATTATACATATTGGTTTGTGGTTGTGGATTTGCATAGTTATTGACTTGTTGCCACATAATGTCTGTCGATTGTCTCGGATTCCCTAATACCATATACCGACCTTCATAACTTTGAAGATCTGATGTTATGTTATTTATGATGTCATCAATGGAACGTTTTTTTACTGCGGCCGGATGATGGCCTTGATTATCCATTTTCTGTATTTATAAAAAAAAAATAAACAATAAATGTTACAAATTTAATAGGTACCTTGGTGAAGATAAGTATTCTTTTTTTCATTAAAAATGTATAAATTAATAAAGCCTAGTTTGGCATATTTTAGAATAATGTATTTATTACCAGCCTATATTAGGCACAGATTTGTTTAGTAAACACGAAGCACGTGTTTGACAGGTTCATTTCAAAAAAGGTAGGTAGCTAATTTTATACTTAATAAATATTATGTAGAACAATTATTACAACATAATTAATGATTAACAATTTGAATTTGATAAATTAAAAGCTATGGCAAAAGAATTTGCATTAGAGTTTGAGCCAAGTTAAAAATAGTACAGATGTCATTAACTACATTAGTGTCTTTTTATTATCACAGAAGATACAAATGTTTAATTTTTTTGATCAAATTTAATTTACTTTGCGAAAAATTTAACATAAATGAAATATAAATTTCAAAAGACATAAAAATGGAGTAGTATACTTCTATAAAAATACATACAATTTTTTAAATGGTTTAAATGCACTAAGTATCAAGGTATTTTATCTATTTAGATGGGTATTGAGAAATGAAATTATTTTGTTCAGAATATTAATAATATAAAAGGTTATGTTGAAACAAGGTACCAATAGTTATGTTTAATATATTTTGTAAATTATTTGACAAATACTTGACAAAATTGTTTATTTGTGTAGGTATTATTACATTTAACTAATTGATAAAACATACAAAAGAAATATTATTGAATACTTACCTATGCTTTAAAATATTAAAAAGCATAGGTATTGCAAAGAGTATTGTATTACTATGTAATGGAGAGTAGTTAAAGTACTTTATTTTGAATAGAATAATCAGTCAGAAAAATAGTTACCCAGATATATTCTTTGACGAGTTTAAATCATACAAAATTAATTTAAGTTATTGATAAATTATTGCCTAAAAAACATTTTTATTGTAAGAATTATTATAAATACAGCGTTTGACTGGCATGCAAGTCACATACGATAGTTAAATCGGAATATTTAATATTTAAAGTGCTTAAGCAGAGAAACTAGATTTTTTTAAAAAAACCTTAATCAGTGCGATTAGTCGGGTTGCTGAACGTTACATAACTTACTTCTTAAGACCTAGAATACTTTGAGGACGGCTCTATGCGAAGGTCGGAAAAAAAATTCAATCAAGATGAAAAAATCGCAAAAATATAGCTAACGTTAATAAAATAAAATAATGATAAGGAGAAAGGTACACTTACCGACTGAGGGTTCGATTGACGAAGATGCCGTTGAAGCTACTGCCGGTGTTTACATTATCCGGATATTTCGCGGCGGCAACGACCGCGAGTAACAGAATAGTTCAAAAAAAAAATAATAAAAATTACTCACTATCCCGGAAATTAGCGGACGGCGACGACAACTGGTCGGAAAAGCCGGTAAGTCGCGTAAACGCCGAATAGAATCGAAAGATGTATATTGTAATATATCGTCGAGCAAAACAATTAACGCTTTGCCAGTATCAAAACAATGAAGTCGGCCATGTTTGCGATTTCGCACGGGTCATGTGCACGAGTCATCGATGAGATCCCCCGCGCCTGCTCACCGACGCTCCAACCATCCGACGACCCACCGCCCGATATTACCGTACCTGACGCACCATAATTATTGGGCCGCGCGCTCCATACAAATTAATTTTTTTCATTTTATTGGAATTTTTTTGGCGACGACGACGTCCTGTCTTCGTTACGAGTTATTTGTGCGCTCGTGTCGATGATTATTATTATTGTCGTCGTAACCATCAGGTCACAAAGATCATAAACATAGGTTTCATATTAATAAATTAAATAAATATTATTTTATTTGATATTATAGGTACGTATTCAGTCTTTGATAAAGAAAAGGAATTATTTGTTTTTTTGTTTCAACAACTACACGAAACGACACGTCGTCATTGTTTTGGTCGTTACCACGGTGCGCGCCAGCACTGTACTGACCAACATGGAGTGTGTTATGTTATCTAACCCGTATGGTGAGGGGCGCATCGAAAATGGTAACACCCGCGAGTCAAATTTATTTTCCCAACTCGAGTTTTGACGATTTTAATATCTTCAAAAATAATTAATTGCCCTATCGATAACTCAAATAAATTATACATATATTTTAGATTCTGAGTAGAGTAAAGAAGCATATGGTTTCACAAAAATGTTTATTTATTTTTTTTTTTGTTTTTTTCCTGTGGACAACTTTTCTATCAGAAGACTTCTTCCGATTTTTCCGTGTAGCAACTTTTCTGGAAGGAAATTAGTGAGGGGAGTACCTTAAACGTTATTTTTCAATTTACACAAGAGCTTTTTCATTAAATGCGAAAAACCGAAAAAATCGGGAAAATGTACGAAGTATATTTGTATAATATTACAATTTTTTTTTTTGTGGTCAACTTTTCTACGAGCAATTTTTCGAGCAACACTTTTAATGATATCAATTTTTCTAAAAGGAAATTTCATTGGGTAGGTACTTTAAAACGGTAATTTTTCGATTTTCTCCGGAGTTTTCTCAGCAAATTTGAAAAACTGAGAAAAAATATGGGAAAACAGGGAAAAATGTAGGAAAACCGGGGAAATCGGCATAACATTAAACAAATATTATTAAAAAAAATATATGGAGTCTCTTTAATTATTTTCTTTGCTCAGAATCGTTTTTTCGTTAGCAATGGTTTATCGTTGCTTACAGATATACATTGAATTCCCGTCTGTATCCTACCTTCCCAACTCCCTATCTACACCAATGGCTGCACCTGTCCCCATTATCTTATCTTTTTTAGAATTTATCTACCAGTAATAAATTATTATCTTTCTTTTGTATTGCACATTTTCAGTCTTGTATGATAAAATAAATGATAACTGATAAGTACTATTAACGATAATTGAATAATAACTAAATACTTCCGATTATTTGAGGTATATAATTGTAACTACCTAATTATGTAACCCTATTAATTAATAATTAAAATAATGACTGTTAGTCTAAAAAGTTATGTGTTAAATGTAGTGAATTATGGAGTATGTTTAAAATAAGTGTAAGGGGGTGTGGTCTCCCACGTGTTATGTTGAAGTCAATTGCAAGGCACACTACTTTTTTTATATCTCATAGTTCCCTTTTTTTATTTTTCTAATTCAAGCACTGGTTTGTACTTTAACTTTGATAATAATTGATAAGTGAGAAAAAAAAGCATCCTAAGGAAATAGGATGAGAGAATAACTATGCCAAATATGCACATATTACGATAATACTATAGTAATAAAACACTTTTTTTTCTTCGCCTTCAGCTATTTGCGGTCGACCAACCTCGTTCCTAACTTCCACTTTACCCGATTTCCTCCTTGCATGCATAGGCCATCTTCATATTATATCATTCTTAATCGCATCTAATCACCTTTTTTTCGGTCTTCCTCCGCACCCTCTTCCCTCCTACGTTTATTTTAATTACAATTTTTACTGTTTTTTTCTAATACTATTGAAGTTATGTATAGGCTTCCTCGTATATACTCATCTCTTATCCTATTTTTGTCACTTTACTCATCCATCTAAGTATTCTCACTTCTGTTATACGCATTCTCTATTATATTTTTCTGTCTACCACCCAACGTACAACACAACACAGTCAGTTTCACCAGTCACCACACTTTTGTAGAACTTGCCTTTAAATCCCATTAACATTTTCTTGTCTCAAAAAACACCTGACGCTTCCCTCTACGTTGTACAACCACACTTAACACTACGATTCACATTCTCATGGAAGCCATTATTCTTTTACACAATAAATCTTAGATACTTAAACCTATAATATAGTTTAATTACAAGCTATATAATATAATTTACAAGCTCCTATGTAGTTGTAATAAGTATTTAATAGATAAGATAATTAGAAACTTTAATATTTGGAGGTATAAACGTACAATTGAAATTAATACTAAAAATACGTCTTAGAATAATGAAGACGGGTGCAGCCATTGTAATAGGTAATTTAATGTATATCTGTGAGCAATAATAAACCATTGCAAACGAAAAAACGATTGTGAACGCAGTTCAGTTGATAATGATGCTTTGCCAACAATATATATGTGTCATATTATGGTAAAATGATTAAAACAATATGCGTTTTCATGGGAATAATGATTTTTTAAAAAAGATTAAAATAATAAAAACTTAATAACATACAATAAATTCAAACGGTTGCCAATGATAACCTTATTTTTAATCTTTCAATCTTTTTTAACCTAAAGAACCAGGAGTTACCAGGAGTTGCCATTTATAATAAACTACAAGCCTACTTGGGACACTATAATTTTTGTAGTTTAATGATATTTAATATTTTTATAATATTAATAAATTAAAAATTGAAAAATTAGAAATGCAACAAAATGTAATAATGTAATTATTATTTTCTTACCTATAAATATAATTTAAATTATTTATAATCCTAAAATTAAAAAAGTATTAATTTTTCCGGTTTTTCACATTTGCTATGAATACTTTTGGGAAAATCGAAAAATGACTTCCTTAAAGTACTTTCTTAATCAAGATTTCTTGTCAGAAAAAGTGTTATCGTTGTATATCGGAGTAAAATTGCTGGTGGAAAAGTTGTTCACAGGAAAAATAAAAGCCGAAATGTTTTTTAACTAATACCTACATTTCGCACATTTTCCCGTTTTTTCTCCGTTTTTTATTTTGGTTTTTCACATTTTTTGAGAAAACTCTTGGAAAAATCAAAAAAAAGACGTCTTTAAATTACCATAGAGATAAAATTTCCTTTCAGAAAAAGAGCTACACTTGATACATCAGGACAAGATTTCTGATAGAAAAGTTTGCACAACAAATCGAGGGTTATTTGTCGATTAAAATAATGCGAGCGAATGGTAGTTGGGTCTCTAGGTACACCTAAAATGCATTCATTTTTTGCTGTTTAAATAAAAGGGAAAAACAAGTGCAAATAATTTTTTTCGAGACACAGGTTTGAATGCTAAAATGAGATTACGTTGTATAACCATTTGGCTACGAAAAACATCCTATTGTGATTACAATATTTAGTTATTTAACATAACATATTTTAATATCCGCATGATATAGGAACTTCAAGATGCTATAATTTCGAAACTAAGACAGTCCGCTCAAGTCTGATTTCACCACCATTCTTAAATCGGTAATATAAATGTTCAAAAAAAAAAAAAAAAAATTGAAAAATAAGGTAATATATAGTAATAATAATAATTTTTTACTCAACGATTTTCGTCAAAATTTGATATTGAAATTCCTTTATAAAAAAAACATTACATTAAACTTAAATATTTTTTTTACCACAAAGTAAGGAGTATTAAGTAAGTATTAATTAAGTAAATCGGAACAAAATTGCTGGTAGAAAAGCAGTCAACAGGAAAAAAAGGCCGTAATATTTTTTACTAATATGTGTATACCTACATTTTGTACATTTTCCCGCTTTTCCTCCTTTTTGTCCAGTTTTTTATTTATTGGGAAAACTCCTAGGGAAATCAAAAAATGACCTCTCTAAAACACTATTTCAGTCAGATTTTCTAAAAAACATTAGTCATTGAAGGGAAATACGATGATAATGTAGGTAGGTACTGATTAAACCGAAGCATTAAGCATTGAAACCCGCCTATTATTATGAACGAAATATAACAAATTTTAATATTTTATATTTACGAAAAAACGCGTTTTACAGTAAAATCAAATTTTTGTTGTCTTTCTCCGGTTTACTTCTAAAGTTCTAAACTAGAAATACGTGAAACCATATTTTTTTTTTCTTGAACACGCGAGAGCATGTTTCAGATTATTTACTATACGTATAGTATTAAATATTTAATATTTAATAATTTTCGACGAATTGTATTTTTCCTCGAGTAAATATTTTCCGGACAAAAAAAATCCCCTTCCAAATTTATATATTATGTTTTCGACCAATTACAGACGTGCAGTAAAAGGCGACGATAGTCTTGTGTGCGTCATCAGTGACGCGTTATGTGCCCCGGAAAACTGGCCAACCGTGGCACCACGCCGGATGGGAGGGGGGGGGACAAAAGTCGAAGCCGCGTGGGCGAATAATGACGGTCCAATTATCCCTACCGTCGAGTAGTTTCCTTGTCGTCACCAGTCACCATAGCCGTTTTTCATTTCAATCTATAACGTTTAAAATATCGTGATATCCACTTTTACTACAGATAATAATCCTGGTAATAATAGTGTAAGATAAAAAAAAAATGTTTAGAGACTGAATAATTTTTTTTTTTAAAAACCCATATATTTTGCTTCGTGGGGTCATACTCGACGGCAAATTGGCCTACTGGGAAATCGTGAAATTTCTCGATGGCCCGCTGTTATATTCATGATTTATAAAATAAATATAAGCAAACAGTATAATTCATATTAGTACGACTACATGTGAGTTTCTACGATTTCCGTCAAAATGGGAACGTCAACGTTAAACACTTATTAAAAGAACAAAATGTGTAGAGAATTTCGATATTTGTTGAAAAACAATAGTACAATATTATGATGAACCTTGTGTCAAATTGTCAAGAATTTTTAAAACAAATAAAAACTAAATTTTTAAATCATATAGTAGAAAATCCTCAAGTCCTGTAGGTATATGATAATAATACAAGGTGGACAGGCTACGTCAAAACTTGCAGGAAACCGAGCTACACAGAAAAAAAAAAGCGACAAAACCAACTGATTTACGTATTTGACTTTCGAACGTATCACAACTGCAATGAGTGCATGAAAGAAAAAAACTGAAATAAAATACCCACCCCATGAAAAAAAAAAACCAATCGAGAAGTGACTACGGTGAATAGCAGTAAATAATTCCACCGGAAAAGGATGTATTAACATAGGAAAACGGCGGAAACACGGGAAAGCGTTTGAAGTTAATATCATAACTGACATAGACA